GTGCCCGCCCACACCACCTCCACTCACACTCACATGCTGATCTCTTTGGAAACCATCTCTCAGACACACTTCACCAGGTATCTGGGTGTTCCCGAAGCCAGTCAAGTTGACACAATTAACCGGCACAGATCACCGGCCACACAGTGGCAGGGTGGCGCTGCCTGTCGGCTTGCGGATGTTGGGTCCACTCCCCTCGGGCCTCTCTGCAGTGCCCCCTGGGCCCTTGCACCACATGGCAGGGGAGTCCCCAGAGCAGAACCCAGGAGCTGCCGGTCCTTTCCTACTCTGCTGGTCAAGCAGATGCAGAGCCTGCTCAGATTTGAGGCAAGGAGAAAGAGACCGCAGCCCGCAGGGGCTGGTGTCAAGGGGCTGACACCATCTTTGCTCTACTGGAAGCCTGCACACAGCAGATGGGTGGGTCTCCTGCACTCTTCTCTATGGCTGTAACCCTCCAGAGCACCTCACTACCCCAGTCCGGGTCCCTGTCCCTTTTTCTGCCAGTAACTAGGCCTATAGCATCAGTGCCCAGCACAGCTCCAGAGGCCCAGGGAGACAGATTGCAGAAACAGCTCCCATATTAGGGACTGATTGAAAGAGCAGCCCTTGCACGTCCCTGGGCTTGAAAAGAGAAGACCCAGGGATACCTGGTATCTTCAGATACGGGCAGGTGGTTGTTCAAGTCACAAAGTGACAAGCTACGGCTGTGGCCCAGAGCCTGCTGCCTCCCCCGTGTAGCCTTGAGAAACACACGTATTCACGGTTTTTCAGAGGTCAAAGAGGAACAACAAAGCAGAAATGCAGCCGAGTTGCACGGCCCAGACTAAGTGGCCCACAGAGCTTTCCCAGGAGAGGTTTGCTGGCCTCTGTTCTAGAAGTCAACAGTCAGCCCTGTGTCCCCCAAGATAGACTTCAGGTCTGTTGAAGAATGGATGTTCTTTTCAATTTTATTTAAAAAAAATGCCTTGGAAAGACAGAGAGAGAGAGAGAGAATGCCCCCATTCACTGGTTTACTGCCCAGATGGCCACAACAGCTCCAGGCCAGGCTGAGGACTGGCTAAAGCCAGACACTCAGTCCAGGTCTTCTGCTGCCTCCCAGGGTCGGCACTGAGAGGCACTGGAGCCGGAGTTAAACCCTGGCACTCTGATACGGGACTCGCGCATCCCAGTCGGTGTTACTAACCACTAGGCCTCATGCCCACTCCACGAGTGAACTTTCTTTTCTTTTTAAGATTTGTTTGCTTTTTATTTGTTTCAAAGGTAGAGTGACACATGGGAAGATGGGAAGGGAAGAACAAGAGAGACAGGAAGAATTCTTACATCTGCTACTTTACTCCCCAAATGGTTGTAACCCCCAGGGCTGGGCCAGACTGAAGCCAGGAGCCGGAAATTCAAATCCAGAAGACGCCTCCTCCTCCTCCCCAACCTCTTCTCCCTCCTCCGCCTCTCCCCCTGTGGGGAGCAACTCGGACTAGACTGTTACTGGAATTAAGACTTATTCTATGCATCTGCTCTCCCACAATATGGCGCTGGGAGAGGAGGAAACAGCTTCTACACAGCTGCCTCCAGTTCAACCAATAAACAGCAGGACCTGCTCCTGATTGGAGGAGAGCAGCATACTCGGCGTGTGGGTAGCAGAGTTGGGACTGGTGGAAGAGGACTATAAAGGAGGAGAGAGACAACATGCACCAGGAACATCTATCTGAAGGAACACCTGTGCAGCCCCCGAGAGAGCCGGCCGGCGGTGTGCCGCTCCCCCGCGGAAGTGGGGAAAGTGGCAGGGGGAACCGCCCTTCCACGGAGGTGGAAGGACGGTAGCCAACCCGGGAAGAACCAGCAGCAAACCCGGGGAGGGCCGAGCAGACAAAAGAACAGCGCAGGGTCCTGTGTCGTTCCTCCACGAAGAGGGGGAGCGACATCCCCCGACGCCCCTTCTCCCTCCTCCTCCCTCTTCCTCCTGGCCCTCTTCTCCTTCCCCCCTTTCTCCTCCTCCTCCCCCTCCCTATCCCCATCATCTTCTCTCTCCCCTCCCCCTCCTCCCAGGCTGGTACACTTGCGAGGTCCATCGTGGGGGAGAGGGCCAGCACCATGCAGTGTCCCCAGGGTCAGCGTCATCTCCTTTACGATAGCCCTGGTTCCCACTCGCTACACCTCACCATCGCCTGCCTCTGTCTTCAGTCCTCACTGCCCCCGAGGGATCGATCTGTGGCTCCTGTGTGATGGGAGAATGAGCCTCAGATTGAAGGGATGGCCTTCCAGGCACAGCTAGCACACGGCAGGGTTTAATACTGGTAGGCTTGCAGCCACTCTGGGCCTGTCCACACCACAGGGCTGAGGCCACACCCAGAGAGCGCACAGACAAGAGGGCAGGAGAAACAAAAGCTGTGGACAGAGCAGCACCTCCTGGGCATCCCTGTAGTCAAAGGATTCCCCTTTCCTCGTGTTGTGCATTTTAAAAGTACTGGTAGAGATACCAGAAGGGTTCACCTTGAGTGGGGAAAAAGTATGAGGCCAAGCTGGGCTGCCTGGGGGGAGGAGGAGGAGGAGGGGAGAGGGTGGGTGGGCAGTGCACCCTCCAGAGCAAGGCGGGCTGCAGCGTGGGGTGGGGGCAGAGGCAGAGGCACCGCAGGCCACATGGGCTCCTGGACTTCCTGGCCGGCCTGAGGTCCCGTGGTGTCAGCCCTGGGAGGTCGGGCAGAAATCCGGGGGTCTCTGGAGAGGAGTCCAGGGCTGAGAGAGTCACCCCCGAAGGAGTCCTGGCAGCAGGAGCACAGAATTAACACATAGAAAAGTTGTCCTCAGTGTTTGGGGTGCTGAGTGCTACCGTCACGGAGGGGAGGGCGGTTGCCGGAGTGAGTCTCAGGGGTTCTTTTCCTCAGCTCAGTATAGAAGCAAAACACCGGGAAACTGCTTGCAAGGAGGCAGAAACTTGTATTTGACAGAAAAGGAACTTTTACTTGATTTACAGAGGAGGCGTCTGGTCCAAGAGGCGAGCAGGTGGAGTACGAGAGGGACACTGGTCTTGGGGCAGTGTCCCGGGTCTTTAAGGCATTACTGTTTTTTTTGTTCCATTGGGTCATTCCGTGGGGGTGCCCATTGGACGGGGGTTTCACATAGGTGTGTTGAATGGCTTGGGGCTCGTGGAGATAGTGGGGTCTCCTGGAGACAGCCTGGCTCCTTAGGGGCTCAGCCCCCTCCTCTGCTAGCTCTGGGTGGAAGATGGCATGATTCAAACCTGCAAGGGTCCCCATAAGGTAGCCGGGATCTCCTGGAGCCAGTCCGACTCTCCCCAGAGGCTCAGCCCCTATCCAGCCAGGTCTGGGGGAGAGCTTGCCCCCACCCTGAAGGTGTGACTTAAAGCCGCAAGGTCACACATGCAACACAGGAAGCTATTGGTTAGGGAGATGCCGTCGGTCTGGAGACAGGCTTTCCAGCCACAGCTGGCAGCCTGCTTGTGACGGACATTCTACCCACATCTGAGGGGCCCACAGAACCCCAGCCCCACTGGACGGCCTCACCGAGTTTCCTGGGTCCCACGCCGGGAAGGCCTCATGCAGCAGATGGGAAGTGAGACCCTGAATCCGGGCTCGGAAGATGTCCCCGTGCAGTGCTCAAGCCTGCAGACTCAGGGCCACGCACACTCCGAGACAGTGACCTGGGCAGAGGAAGTGAGGGCGCTGGGACTTTGCTGGGGAATCAGCCTTCTGGTCATCAGTGTTCCGTCCCACAGCACCAGTCTCCTTCCTGGGAGTCGGTGGTGCGTAGGCATGATGCTCCTGGAGCTGTCTTGCTGAGAGAAAGAGTGAACGCAGCCTTTGTCTGCATGATTGCGCTTCATTGTTACGTTTGTGAACGTACAGTAAACTCGGTAAAGATGAACTTATAAAAGCTCTTACTAAAAGTTCCCTGTTGGGGCCGGCACTGTGGCATAGCGGGTGAGGCCACTGTCTGCAGTGCCGGCATCCCATATGGGCACCGGTTCAAGTCCCGGCTGCTCCACTTCTGATCTAGCTCTCTGCTGTGGCCTGGGAAAGCAGTAGAAGATGACCCAAGTCCTTGGGTCCCTGCACCTGTGTGGGAGACCTGGAGGAAGCTCCTGGCTCTTGGCTTTGGATCGGCTCAGCTCCAGCCATCGTGGCCAACTGGGGAGTGAACCAGTGGATGAAAGACCGCTCTCGCTCTCTCTCTCTCTGCTTCTCCTTCTCACTCTGTGTAACTCCAACTTCCAAATAAATCTGTTTTTGAAAAAACAGTTGCCTGTTGTTTGCCATGAATTGCCACCATGGAGTTTTTAGGGGAGTTTGTTTATCCATCCACTTGATACCAGTTTAGTGCACTTGCTGTATGCCTGGGACTGTGCTGGAGGTGGGGTGAATAGGATAGTGACCACCTCAGGGTGGGGGACTGAGTGCTGCCCCCCACTCCTGATTTCTGGTTAGGTGACAGACAAAATAAACCCTGCCCCAACTGCACGTGGTTAAATTCTGTGTGAGCCTTTTCTTCTTAATTAAGGTATTTGTTAAATTCATTACTAAATGTGATTTTTATAAATGTGTACGTGTTGTCAAAAACAAGAAGCAAAAATGCCAAATACAGAGCAGGTCCCTGTAGCACCGGGTATTGTGACTTCGAGTTTGAAGCATGGATTACCACCCTGATGATAAGCTGACCAGGTCTTCGCTGACGGAGGTAACAAGGCATAGTCTCTAACTCCTGTACCAAGGCGGCATGGAGTTCTTTCCTCCTGTCGTCGAGCTGGGACTTCAGCTTTAAAGATGGCCAATTCAGATGTTTTAGAGATAACCTTGACTGTTTTGGACCCCTGCTACACCCCCCCATTTGCAAACACGATGCCTTAGGAGATGCCCCGCAGGTGCTCTGCTGCCCACGTGTGTGCCTGCTTGCAGAAGTCTCGTGGACACTCGGGCCCGCCAGTAGCCACTACAAGAAGGGATTCGCAGGAAGCAGAATCGGGCCAGTAACCTCTGCCTCTGGGTTCTCAGTGTTGCAGGTGGCGAGCTGTTTGACTTCCTAGCTGAAAAGGAATCGTTGACAGAAGAGGAAGCCACGGAATTTCTCAAACAGATCCTCAATGGTGTTTACTACCTGCACTCCCTCCAGATCGCCCACTTTGATCTTAAGGTACGTTGCCCGGGGCGAGCAGCCAGGTGGAAACGGAGGCAGACCCCAGCCCTGGCTGTTGATTTGCTAAAACAGAGGCAGCTGGAATATGCGTGTTTTCTGTTTCCTGCACGTATTTAGTAAACAGAATTCTCGCCGTAAAGCCACAGGTTTTACATGTTCCTAAGCCTCAAAGGGATGACTCCACTTTGAGATGCTTCCGGAAGAATTAAGGGTCTTGACATCCGGGTCTTCCTGGGGCACTGGCAGCCTGCTCCGGCCAGTGGCTGGCCCAGTTTCCATCCACCTGGCCGTGGGTGTGCAGGGATAGAGAGGGTCTTGAACCCTGTTCCCTTCTTTCTGGATGCACTGGCTGGTGGGCCTGGGCCTGGCTGTCGCCTGCTGCGCCGCACACTGAGCGCTGAGGTTGGCCACGTGGAGTCCTGGGTCTCCTGGCAGCGAGGACTATGGGAGATGAACGAGAGTGACACCATTACAGAAGGGGCTGTTTGGAAAGGGAGCACACGCAGAGGGGGAAGAGGTTCAGTTCAAGTTCAGTTCAGGACACTGCAGAGCCGGCGGGGCAGGGCTCCACTTCCCAGCAGGGAGGACTTCCTGCCCCTGCTCAGGTCCCTCAGCACGCCTTCACTCACACGCACACCTATGCCTCTGTGCCCTGGGAGCTGGGATGCCAGGAAGCAGGTGGAGACCCCGCCCTGGTGCTTCAGTCAGACTCACCCTGGGTTCCACTCGTTCCCCCCCAACCGTGGGTTTCCCAGAACACCTGAGCTGCAGTCACCCCACCTTGCAAAGACGCCTATTCCACCTGCCTTCTGTTTCCTGTCTCCTCCCGCTTCCTGGCGGCCTCTGCCTTGGAAACCATTTGCACCTGGGTCTCACCTGTCTCAGGCCTGCTTCTGGGAGACCCTGGCCAAGACGTCTGTTTCTCCTACTGCTGGTTTTCAGCCACCTTGTTCCTTCTGCTTAAGGTTTTTTGTTTTTTTTTTAAGATGTATTTATTTTTTATTTATTTGAAAGGCAGAGTGGCAGAGAGAGAGAGAGATCGATCTTCCATAACTCTCATTCACTGTCCAAATGGTTGTAATGGCAGGGGCTGGGCCAGGCTGAAGGCAGGAGGATGGAACTTCACCTGGGTCTGCCATAAAGGTTCAGGGGCCCAAGCACTTGGGCTGTCTTCTGCTGCCTTCCCAGGCACGTTAGCAGGGAGCTGGGCTGCAAGTAGAACAGTTGGGGCTTGAACCAGTGCCCCAGTGTGGAATGTTGGCAGCACACCCACAGCAGCTTAACCTGCTGTGCTACAGTGCCAGCCAGTGGTTGGATTTTTCAAGGTGAAAGCAAGAACTACCATCATGTGGTCCTTGGCGCAGCGTATCATAGTTTGTTCTCTCTCTCTCTCTCTCTCTCTCTCTCTCTCTCTCTGTTTTAGCCTGAGAACATAATGCTTTTGGACAGAAATGTCCCCAAGCCCCGGATCAAGATCATTGACTTTGGGCTGGCCCATAAAATTGACTTTGGCAATGAGTTCAAGAACATATTCGGGACCCCAGAGTTTGTCGGTGAGTGTTTTGGCTCCCAGGATCACACCGGCCTCCCCAGAGCGCTGGCAGCTTTTGCCACCCCCAGGAGGCCTTGTCCCTGGTCCGCGTGGCTGGGGGGCGCGAGGCAGAGTCTGAGTGCCTGTCCCTTTCCTCCTAGCTCCTGAGATAGTCAACTACGAGCCCCTGGGACTCGAGGCGGACATGTGGTAAGTAGCACAGGCCTGGGCTGTGATTGGCCGCCTGATTCTGCTGTTCTCCTGACGTGTTTTTTTCTTTGTTTCTGTGTCTAGGAGTATCGGGGTAATAACCTATATTCTGTAAGTACCCAGATCCTCATCTCGCATTCTTTTCTTTCCTTCGAACCCACAGGTTTAATTCATCTTTAAAAGGGCAGCAGCGATCTCTTTAGTTTATGCACACTTTATACGTAAACATACTCATTTCACACCCCCAAAACATGTTGAGTTTATACCAATTAAACAGTTTCTCCTAATTCAAATGAGTCATCAGCAAAAAAAATTAAAAAAAAAAAAAAGTCTGCCTGTCCATCACTGACAATGAAATAGAAGAAGGGGTTTTACAAACTGAAACACTGTTCCAAATTACCTTTTTAAATGAAGCTTTTGCATTAGGGCTGAAGTTTTTAAAATTTGTATTTATGTATTTTGTTTATATGATAAAGGCAGAGAGAGGGAAGGAGAGAGAGAGAAAGAAAGGGAGAGACAGAGAGACTTGTCCCATTCACTGGTTCATTCCCCAAATGCCCACAACAGCCAGTGCTGGGCCAAGCCAAAGCCAGCAGCCCAGAACCCAAGCTGGATTCCCCAGGTGTGGGGCAGGGACCCAAGTCCATGAGCTGTCACCCGCGGCCTCGCAGGTGCACAGTGGCAGGAAGCTGGAATTTACGGGGAACAGAGCCGGGCCTCAATCCCAGGCACTCGGATAAACGATGCCGGCGTCCCAGGCAGCATCTGGACCGCCAGACCGTGCATTCTGTTCGGGACGGTGGAACGTTGCACGAGACATAGCTGAATTTTGCCGTAACTACCCAGGAGTCAGACTCCAGCCCTGCCCCGCGCTCCCTGGAGCCGCATGAGGGCGTGCACGGTGACCCTTGGCATTCGGCCTCCTCTTTCTTTCCAACAGTCTCAGTGGGGCCTCCCCGTTTCTTGGAGACACGAAGCAGGAGACGTTAGCCAACGTGTCTGCTGTCAACTACGAATTTGAGGAGGAGTATTTCAGCAACACCAGTGCCCTTGCCAAAGATTTCATAAGAAGACTTCTGGTCAAGGATCCAAAGTGAGTGCCCACCGTCATTTCTGCATGGCCTTGGCTGGTCGGGGTCTGGCATCTGTTCTGTGCACAGCAGCGCTGTGTGTATCAAATCCTGGTCACCCTTCCCGCCCAAGGGACATGGGCCGTGTGAGGCATTTCAGAAAATGCACAGGGCCTGTGTTCATCAGTATTCTGTGACTATAGCATAATGCCCGAGGCTGGGGAACGTATTATTACTTGTTAAGCTCCGGTTTGGGAGGTTGAAAGTCCAGACAGTGCAGCAGCAGCTCTGGGGAGGTCCTCCTTAGCTACATCACTTCAGAGCGGAAGGCATCACACTGGTGGGCATGCGTGGGAGCGCCAGCCAGGCATGGTGCACGCCTGTGCATCCCTCTGTCTCTCTGTCTTCTTTCAAAGGAACAAATACTCAATCATGACCTTATCTCATCTAGATCATTTCCCAGAGGCCCCACCACTAGACGTCATAGCCAGATTAAGTTTCTACTCTCTTAACACGTTGCAAGGGGGGGAATTCGGAGGGGACAAGCCATGCTCAGACCCCAACAGAGCACCTTGCACCCACTCAACCAGTGCCTGCAGGTGTCATGAAACAGTCACTCAAAAACCAAGCTCACTCGTGGCTTGCTTCCGTGATGTGGGCCCTGAAACCCCCCCACGACTTTCTAAGTGTCCTCCTGCTGTGGTCACAGTGTCTTTCTCCCCTCCCTCCCTCTCTCCCCTAAAGGAAGAGAATGACCATTCAAGATAGCCTGCAGCATCCTTGGATCAAGGTGAGTCACTTGTTAGGTTGCTGTTAAGATTGTTTGGGGCATCCTGGAATTCATTTGACCCCAGAGGACAGCAAACCGCAGGCCAGGCCTGGTGTGTTGGGGTTGCCACTGATGTCCTACTTTTAAGACAGACAGAGCACATCCTAAGGGTCGCAGAGGTGGCAGGGGAGGGATAAGCTGTCAGGTGGCAGGATCGTAAAAGGTCAAGTCCACTTCACCCCGTTGGCTTGACCTTTGGGCTGTCGGCCCACATGAACAATTTTTTTTAAATTTCGGGTGAATTTCCAGTGTGTAAATATCGTATCACATCTGGATTTCCAGCTTCTCAGAAATCTGAAGGTGACCGCCATGGAGCCCTCATTTGGCATGGATTCAGGCGATGGCCCATGTATGTGCCTTGCACTAGGGCATGCGGGAGCCCCTGGCATGGGACGCCATTGTGTGACCTTCTTGGGCCCTTCAGCATTTGGGTTAAGGAAACTGAAGTTGCTTCATTCTAAAGAAAAAAAGGATGGGGGCTGGCGTTGTAATGTAGTGAGTAAAGCCACTGCCTGTGACGCCAGCATCCCATATGGACACCAGTTCAAAACCCGGCCACTCCACTTCCAATCCGGCTCCCTGCTAATGGCCTGGGAAAGGCAGCAGAGGATGGCCCAAGTGCTTGGGCCCCTGCCACCCATATGGGAGACCCGGAAGAAGCTTCTGGCTCCTGACTTCCTCCTCGTGGCTGTTGCAACCATCTGGGGGAATGAACTAGCAGTTGGAAGCTCTCTTTCTCTCCCTCTCTCTCTGACTCTGACTTTCAAAATAAATAGATTTTTAAAAGAAAAGGATGGAGGGTGGAGGAACATGATAGCTTTGGGATGAAGTTGTGGAATCCGGAAGTCAGCACTGCAGAAGGAAAATTTGGGGCAGGGAGAGAGCTCCCCGTAGGTGCCTGGGGCTCTGCTAGGAGACAGGGGGATTGCTTCTCAGAGGCAGAGCCCCGTAGCTAAGTGGCCCCTGGGAAGGATGCAGCAGATGGCATTCTGGGGCTGCAGGCACGGCTGAATCTGCCAGTCTCTGCGGTCCCTCCGAGTTCAGAATCTCCATGAAGACCCAAGTTCAGATGCCTCGTGACTGCGTCTTGCTTGTGGATCTTCCCACTCCCAAAGCATCAGTGTGGAAAGTTGCGATTGCTTTTGGCTCCAAGCCCAACTTTTCGCCCATGTTGCGGTCTTTGTGGATCTTACCGAATCATCCACCACGGAGTGTGGGCTGTCACCCCTGGAGCTTGCTGGTCATTGCAATTTCTGAGGCTGTTTGTTTTTTAAAGCTTTATTTATCTATTTGAAACGCAGGGTGATGGAAAGAGGGCTTCCATATGCTGGTTCACTCCCCAAACAAATACAGTGGCTGGGGATGGGCCAGACCAAGGCTAGGAGCCCAGAACTCCATCCTGGTCTCCCACCTGTCTGCAGGCGCCCAAGCACTTGGGCCATCTTCCACTGCTTTCCCAGGCCACAGCAGAGAGCTGGAGCGGAAGTGGAGCAGCCGGGATGAATGTGGATGTGGTGGTTCATGCCTGTGTACCGCAGCCCGGGCCCCGTCGTTAGGTGCCTCTGGAAGCATCCCTGATATGAACAGAGGCTTTTTTGCATGTTTCTGTCGGTTAAAAACTCTGCATTTGTTGTTCAGCCTAAAGACACGCAGCAAGCACTCAGTAGAAAAGCATCGGCCGTCAACATGGAGAAGTTCAAGAAGTTTGCAGCTCGCAAGAAGTGGAAGGTAAGATTGTTGGATAAAGAGGGGCTCACCCTCCTGCTTCCCGTGTTCCCCCCGGTCTGCCTGGGGCTGGCCCCCTGGGAAACACCGTGCTGGGTGTGAGTTCACTCTGCCGTCTCTGCACTTGACCCTGTTTTCAAAGATGGGGACAAAAAAACAGTATTTCTATCTTTTTATTTATTTATTTCATAAATACAACATTACGAACATAGTAATTCTTCCCACCGTACCCGCCCTCCCCGATTTCCAAATGTGATTTTGTATTTTTTTTTTTTTTTTAAGAAAGAACAAGCAAAACCATTCCCCAGGGCAGAATTTTCAGTCAGCACGATAACATTACATCTAAATGCAACAAGCCACATTTTAAGGGAATTTGTTCCTTGTGGTAGACAGCATGGAGGGTACATTTCTGCTGGAGCTTGTGTGGGTGGTTCTTGAAACTGTGCGTGGGTGAGCGGGGATGGAGTGGTCAGGAGCCCCAGCAGTGTAGCCTCCGCAGGGACAGTGTGTGGGGGACATGGCTCTCCAGGGCATCTCAGCCATCACAGAACAAATCAAAAGTTAGGGTTAAGGAGCCGGCACCGCAGCTCACTAGGCTAATCCTCCACCTAGTGGTGCCGGCACACCGGGTTATAGTCCCGGTCGGGGCGCCGGATTCTGTCCCGGTTGCCCCTCTTCCAGGCCAGCTCTCTGCTGTGGCCAGGGAGTGCAGTGGAGGATGGCCCAGGTGCTTTGGGCCTTGCACCCCATGGGAGACCAGGAGAAGCACCTGGCTCCTGCCATCAGATCAGCGCGGTGCGCCATCCACAGCGCGCTGGCCGCGGCAGCCATTGGAGGGTGAACCAACGGCAAAGGAAGACCTTTCTCTCTGTCTCTCTCTCACTGTCCACTCTGCCTGTCAAAAAAAAAAAAAAAAAAAAAGTTAGGGTTAAGGGAGGAGATAGGGTGGTTTCCTATGGTCAGGGTCATGACACCCAACTCAGAAGTGGGGACCCCCCCATGGCTCGCCAGCACTCAGCCAACAGTGTACCTCATTTCTCATTTTCATACCCTTTGAATTTGAGGTGATATAAGGCTTAAAATGTAGGGAGACCCACTATAAATTCTTTCTCTCTCCCTCTGTATCTCTTCTGTCTCTCTCTCTCTCTCACACACACACACACACACACACACACAAGCATTTTAGTAGTTGCTTCTGCCGTTGAGTAAATGCAGAGATGTGTCTTGGGTAGCATGAGGGACCCACCTGTTCGTTTCCAGCGAGTGTCTTTACGTCTGCTCTGGAGACGTCGTTATCTACTGTTGGCGGCTGCTGTGGGTGCAAAGGACACAGAGCAGGTCCCTGCTGCCCGCTCTCCTCCGAAGGGGCAAGCTCCGAAGGGTTTGTTTGGGTGAGACCAGCTTCCTCAAAGAATAAAAAATAAGTCACAGACAGAAAAGGATGTAGGGTGCCCCATTCTGCTCTTGAAGTGGAGCGCAGAAGGAGGATCCCAGTGTGTCCTGCCGTGTGGATGGACAGCACCGGCTGAGCGGCTCCTTAAATACATACGATCCCCTGCTCATGGAGCGCCCGCCCCTGGAGAATGCTGCTGTTGCCCGCGCCCAGTCTGGGAGACCGTGACCATGACACTGACCTGAGCACCATCACGTCAGCTCATCCCCCCTCTCCCTTCTCGGCCCTCTCCTTTTTTTCTTTTTCTTCCACAGCAATCCGTTCGCCTGATATCACTGTGCCAAAGATTATCCAGGTCTTTCCTGTCCAGAAGTAACATGAGCGTCGCCAGAAGCGATGACACTCTGGTAAGCAAACGCGGTGGCCCTCCTGGGCCTCGTCCTAGGCCCTGCGGTTCTGCAAGCCAGAAACCCAAACTCACGCCCGTGGAGCACCTGTGCGTCCTCCTCTCGCGGGATGGGGTCCGGGCCACTGACTTGCTGCACCCCATTTCTCCTTTCCTCCTCTTCTGCCTTTGATTTGGGTTGACAGTCTCTCTCTGTGCACACTACCTGGACCCCTACCCCCATGTCTTACACACGCACACGCACACACACACACACTCACACACACTTTGATAGAAGACAAGCTAGCTAGTGAAAGAGAAGAAAGCTCCTTCCAGTTTGCAGGAACTAAAAGGAGAGGCTTCTGTTGCCACCCACATAAAGAAACTTGGGTGACAACAACACGAAAGGGACAGACAGCCCACCTCTGCCCCTCTCCTGCGCCAGCCACTTTCCCACACAAACACCAAAATTAAAGAGTGTCTTGCGGTAGACCAGAAGGCTAAACATACTGACAATGGGTGAAGATGCCTAAGACCCTGGAGAAAAACAAGTCTCCAAGTTTTTTTTTTTATTGCTGGTTTTTTGTTTGTTTTTACTTTTAATGCAAACTGAGACCATGAGCTCTTTGGGTAGACCGGCACACCTGATCTAACAAGACTCTCTCCCAACACTGAGACAAGGGGCCTCTGTCCACCCCGGAGGTACAGGCACCGCAGGGAAGGCAGGCTGTAGGAACTCCCCAGCTGGTAACTAACCCGGTGGCGGCACCTCCTGGGCAGGCCCCAGGGCTGTGAGGGAAGGGAGCACAGGCCAGCAGGTGCCAGCTCACTCTCTTGCTCTCTCTTTCCCCTGAGTCTGGCAGCCTCACAGAGAGAGATAGGAGATGTTTACAAAAACCAGGAGGGAGAAATGCAAGTTGTGGGGGACAAGGCAGAGGGAGGAGGAGAAGGCAGGCTTGGTTCAGCAGTTGTTTGGGGGTGCAGTGGAACTAGGGGAGAGAAAACCAGGATTGTAAGACAGATCATGAAGGTGATTCAGCATTGTAAATTTCAGTCCTCCTGAGTAACCCACTGGGAGTGATAATAAGGTCAGCATACGGGAGGGACCCAGGGTCAGAGGTCCGGACAGGTGGATCCCCTCTCCGAGGTCAGAGTCCCTCGTCAGCTCCCAGTGCTGCATGTCAGGAGGACGGACGGGCGTGCTGTAACCACCTGCTTTCCTCCCTTTCTCCCCGTGGCTCTCGCCTTTGACCCACATGCAAATGTGTCTTAGTCACCCGCTGAGACTGAGATAGAAAAAGCAAAACCGGTGGCATTCTCTCCCACGTACGCTGTACAAATATTATGAAACCTGCCTGGGGCTGGTTTGGGTTCAGGTCTACAAAGAAGCAAAAGCAGAGGTCAGAGAGCAGCTTTGTCCCTGCTGCGTCCGGAGCACAGGTCCAGTTCTGCACATGCGCCTCCCAGGTCGGAAATCCCAGGAGAAGCCCAGCATTGTGTTAGATGGCCCTGCTTTTAATGTAGCCCATGTAGGAGATGTAAGAAAACTTCGACAGAGTGGCAAAGACTCAACTTGTCCAGTAGCCCAGATATTTTCCCTATATAACTGGAAGTACATCCATTTTTCTGTTTCTGGCCTATATCTTCACATTTTCCCCCATTTTCAGCCTAATTTTTTTTGGTAGAGTCGTGACCCACCTTCAGAGAATTCTGCCATGCTATTTCAGAGCTGGACGAGGAAGTTCAAGTGACGGAAACGTGGTTGTTCCGTAATTGGAAAAATGGCCAACTGAGAATATCTTACTCAAATATCTCATTTCTCTGGTTCAATGGTTATTTTTTTTCTTTTTCCTTTATCCTGGAAGAGAGTCTGTGTCACACCTGAAATTTTCCACAGTGGTTTCTAGGACCCTATTTTGACAGGTTCCTGAGATACAACACAAGGGTTTATTTGCCATCCCATTGTGTGAAATCTGAATCTTGAAAGCTATTTACTCTCTGGGTTACAGTGCAGGAGACATTGAGACCCTGGTAGATAGTAGGTGGTATTATTACTTTGCAACATGGAAGGGGTAGAAAGTAACCTCCATGCCCTTCACAACCTTGTGGATTTGCGAGAGTCTGAGTAGTTGCCCTACCTTCCTCTGCATGCCCTTTGTAACAAGTAAGCATTGATTTCTCTTCTGCTGATGGGCTGAAGGGCTGTGGTGAGCAGGCTGACTGTTTCTGTCTTTGCTGTCTCCCCCAAGGATGAGGAAGACTCCTTTGTGATGAAGGCCATCATCCACGCCATCAATGACGACAACGTCCCAGGCCTGCAGCACCTGCTGGGCTCGTTGTCCAACTACGATGTCAACCAGCCCAACAAGGTCTGATTCTGTTCTGCCAGGCTTACGGGCAGGGGTGGGTTGCAGTGACTGGGCGCCTCCACGTCCGGGGTGGAAAGAGCCCCGTGCTTCTCCAGTCTCCCTGCCAACCGGACACTCCCTACCACGGGAGGAAGTCATTTGTAGAGGCGGGGAGCATCCAGCCCGCAAAATCATTTGGTCTGGCCCTGCCAAAGCAACCGCAGGTGGGACTTGAAATGCAATAAATCTATAATCGGCTGATTTTTATGTTGGCCCATGAGTGATGATATCCAAATGGCTCTTGGCAGAGGGAAGTTTCCCCAGCCCTGGTGTAGAGAGGGATCCGAGTTACAGACAAGGGCGCTGCTGTACTGGGGGCCTCCCTTCAGTCTCTTACCCAAAGGTCCCCACCCACTTGTCCTGCAGGGGCCGCTGTCACCTTTGATGGTGAATCCAAAAGAGGAGGGGTTCTGTGTCTGTTGAGACTTGGGGAGATGTGGGGACTGCCTTGATAATGTAGGTTTTGTCTTTCGTAACAAACCTGAACATTTGCCTTATTTTTTTTTTTTTATTTTCCCTTGTCCGTTCCAGCACGGGACACCTCCGTTACTCATTGCTGCCGGCTGTGGGAATATTCAGATTCTGCAGTTGCTCGTGAAAAGAGGCTCGAGAATCGATGTGCAGGATAAGGTCGTGGTTCTGTTTTAGCACAAAGGAGTTATTTTCTTGAAACTATCAGCAATCACACTAATAGTAACCCTAGGGGTAACTGCAAAATAAATAAATAGGATGTCCTCGTTGGTTTCTCGCTTTCCTGTAGGGAAGATGATTGGCTTAAATAGCCCGGGACAGTGTCACGGCCATGGTAGGAAGAAGCAAGCGTTTGTCTTCCGCTTGGCTTTGCTGTTCCACGTCAGCGTTGCCTTGTGCCCTGCCCCAGGTCACTCCTGGGCACTGCTGTTTACTCAACAGCATTGGGTGCCGCTTGTGCGGAAGTTTTCACCGTCTCGTTAAAGTCACAGAAATGCATTTGTCTGCACCTGTGTTAGGGCAGCCAAGCCGGGCTGATGCACTTTGAGGCATCACTCACACTGGAAATGCTGTTCACAGCTGAGTGACAGCTGGGGGTGGGTCCACGACCTTGCTGCGGTACCCCGTCAGCAGAGCTGTGGTGGGCCTGGCTCAGGAGCCTTGGGCCTCCACTGCTGCCTCCGCTTTCATGGGTTCTCTATCCAAGGATTCAGCCAACTGTGGATAGAAAAGAGTTGAAAAAGCCTTCTAGACGCTTCCTTGTCATGAGCATTCATATTGTGCAAGGTATTCTAAGTAGCCTAGAGATGGTTTAAGGGGTAGGAGGAAGAGTGTGCATCAGTTATTTGTAAATACTGTGCCGTGTTACAGAAGGGACTTAGCATCCATGGATTTTGTTCCCCACGGCGGTCCTGGAACCTATTCCCCACAGAGACTGAGAGCGACTCTATGGGGAATTTTTATTTTATTTAAAAAAATTTTTTTCCTATGGGGAATTCTAAGGAGAAGTGGAAATGGGAGTTTAAGAAAAGTAAAGGCCTTATTTTTTATACTTTGAAATATTTTAGATTTGCAAAAAAGATTGCAGAGGTAGTAGAGAGTCCCCTGAAACCCTTCACTCAACTGGCCTGACTGGATATTTTCTGTAGGCACGGGGCAGTTGTCAAAGCTATTAGTGCTGAGTGAGGCCGTCTTCCTCTGTGGGTTGTGGGCACTCAGGAAGGAGAGTAGAGTGAATCTGAGAGATGCGTGTGTTCAGATCTGTCCACTCACTGCAAAGCTGACTCCAGGCTGGCTGTCCTGCAGGGTGGATCCAACGCGGTCTACTGGGCCTCTCGGCATGGCCACGTAGACACCTTGAAATTTCTCCATGAGAACAAGTGCCCACTGGATGTGAAAGACAAGGTAAGGCCGTTTCTCTGCCTGGGAGGGGAGGGAAGGGGGGGGGGGGGGAAGATGGCATGTTTGAGTGCTGCTGTGCTTAGTGTCCCGACACCTAAAAAAAAAATTCAGGATTCAGGACCAAGATCCTCCTGCAGAGAACTTAAGTTGGAAGTTTCTTATTGCCTGTGGCTTGCTCTGATATTGAACTCTGGCTCAAGCTGAAGTCTGTGGTTAGTTGCCACAGTTTGCAAGTGAATTAACTTCCCCATAGCAGGAAAACTCACTGTTCCAGGAAGAGAACCAGGGGACACCTGAGTCCTGATTCTCCTGTGGCCTTTTTTTTTAAGATTTTATTTACTTATTAGGTAGAGTTACAGACAGACAGAGGGAGACACAGAGAGAGAGAGAGAGAGCTCTTCCATCTGCTGGTTTACTCCCCAAATGCCTGCAGCGGCCGGAGCTGGGACGATCCGAAGCCAGGAGCCAGGAGCTTCTTCTGGGTCTCACACACAGGTGCAGGGGCCCAAGGACTTGGGCCCTCTTCTACTGCTTTCCCAGGCCATAGCAGAGAGCTGGACTGGAAGAGGAGCAGCCGGGACTTGAACCGGCACCCATATGGGATGCCGGCGCCACAGGCGGAGGCTTAGCCCACTACACTACAGTGCCGGCCCCTCCTTTGTGGTCCTGCTTTGTGCTTTTAAACACATCTCTGCCATTCTCTCCCTCTCTGAGGCAACTGATGCTGATGCTGGCACTAGAAGACTAATGAGATAATGCACAGATAGCAAGGCATTGGTGGCGTTGGGGGGCCAAATCTGTTCCGAGAGTTACGGATTTAGGCAGGTGCCACGGCTCACTAGGCTAATCATCCGCCTGCAGCACCGGCACCTCAGGTTCTAGTCCCAGTTGGGGCGCCGGATTCTGTCCCGGTTGCCCCTCTTCCAGTCCAGCTTTCTGCTGTGGCCCAGGAGTGCAGTGGAGGATGGCCCAAGTGCTTGGGCCCTGCACCCGCATGGGAGACCAGGAGAAGCACCTGGCTCCTGGCTTCGGATCAGCGCGGCGCACCGGCCGTAGCGGCCATTTGTGGGGTTAACCAACAGAAGGAAGACCTTTCTCTCTGTTTCTCTCTCTCTCTCTCTCTGTCTAACTCTGCCTGTCAAAAAGAAAAAAAAAAAAAGAGAGAGAGAGAGAGAGTTACGGATTTAGTAAGATGGCTACCTTTCCTGTCTGCGTGTTTCCTTCGGTCTATGTAGCGCCCGTGTGCATTCACAGGCAGGGCTGGACCCCAGAGCTAGGACTCCACCTTCTCATCCATTAGTTAGTCTGCCGTACCTCACTCTGTGGAGCTGAATCGGTCTTGCTCGCTCATGGCTGCCACCCACACTGCGTGGCTGGCACGCTGCTGTGTACCCAACATGTGACGTTCACGTCCAGACGACGTTTCTCGTGGCCGTCTTCTGGCAGAGGGCACTGACGTGTCTTTTTGGGTCTCCTTGGGATGAGTTTCTCCTGACTTTTTATTCTGGCCGCTCTGAGTAAACTGTCTTAAAGGAAGCTGCACCTGTTAGACCAGTTCACGGGGGGTGCTGGTATGGGTGGGTCGGGGTGCTGTCGCAAGTCTCCTGAGTGTCAGGAACCCATTTCTAAGCTTGGTCAGGCAAAGGAAGGGGAAATTTGTTGATAACCAAAGCTGTATGTTGAGATAGCTGCTGTATGGTAGACCCAGTATGTAAAAAAGGCATTTTGTGTTTTAGAAAAACACAACAAGCTGGAAACATCTGTTTATAAAAAATGCCAAGCTCAGCCATCAGTGGGCAGAGAGAGAGAAAGCCTTCTCTGTGGGGGCTTTATTACAAGCATGATGAGCCCTATGTGCCAATTTAACACCTGCTGCACGGTGTCTTGGACCCAATTACCCAAGGAGCTCCTGGCTGAGCAGGGAGTAGGGTGGGAACCAGGGATGCTAGGGAGTGGGCTGCACACCCTACCTGCCTGCTCCCCAGGGCGGCCCTGACGTCGGCTCCCCGTTCTCTTGCAGTCGGGAGAGACAGCGCTTCATGTGGCAGCTCGCTACGGCCACGCCGATGTGGTTCAGCTACTGTGCAGCTTTGGCTCCAACCCCGACTTCCAGGACAAGGTGGGTCGTGGGGACCGACTCCCCTCCGCCCGGTGCGCAGGCAGCTGTGCCCTGTGGGTTCCCCATCTGTCCTTATGGAGGGCAGGGTGGGAGCCTGCAGCTCTAGCAAGCAGTGGGTGCCAAGGCCAGGAGCAGGTCTGCCTTCAGATTATAAAGGAAAGAGGTGTATCTTGGCTCACAGACTTGCTCCGAGGTCAGGAGGCTGCATCTGGTGATAGCCCTCCTGCAGGCAGGTTTGCTACATTGCAGGACATCCCAGGGACTGGGACAGGAAGTGTGCAAGGGACCCAGCCAAACCGGCTTTGATAACAGGCACACTGTCGTGATGACCTATTAGCCCCGTGAGTGGACTAAACCCATTCCCGAGGGCAGGCCCCTAATCAGCTCTTTGTAGGAGAGGATTCAACTTCTGGTTGCATCAAACCGCACTTGAACCACAGCAGGGTCTCACCACTTGGCTCATGGAACCCAGAGCCCAGCCCTGTGAGGTGGGTTTCTTTGATCATTCTCAGTGGACAGACAAGGAAACTGAGGCAGAGCAAGGTTCCATCACTTGCCCGAAGCTCACAAGGGTGGTGGAGCTGGGGCTTGAACTCACACAGTCAGGTTTCAGAGCCCAGGTTCACTGCCATGGCCTCCCCCAGGCAAGTGTGGAGCGGGAAGGTCCAGGTGTCGCCTTCCTCATGGACCTCCCAGCCGGCCCTCTCCCGACAGGTTCAGGCAGGCTCGTCTGGTGTCTCTCCTGCATCGCCGTGACACTGTGTGGGCAGAGTTCCCACTCAGAGTCCAGCCCTCGCACTGTACACAGTTGCAGATGAAGTCAGCAAAGGCACTTTGATTGATAGGACAGGTGCGATAATTCCATCTGTGCTCAGCTCTGTTGTTTAAGAGCTGGGCTGACAGTTCCCTGGGCTCCCGAGGGCCACCAGTGGGTTCTGTACCCAGAAAACCAACGTCCGCCACCTGCCAGGGCTGAGGACCGGCCATACTGGGTGAGGCTGGTCAGGTTACATCCTCCCTGTTGGACTCTCAACACCCCCATCATCGGTCTAGGGCAATCTCTGCCCCAGTAGCCACGAGGGCCTTTGCCTCTGCCCCTGGACTTGACCGTGCTGTGGAATTGGCTCGGGGAAGAGTGCCTGCTTTCCCGTGGTCACGTTCCCCTCCTGTCCTCCGTGTGTGTGTGTGTGTGTGTGTGTGTCTCCCTCCGTGGCCAGGAGGAGGAAACCCCACTGCACTGCGCTGCCTGGCACGGCTACCACGCCGTGGCCAGGGCCCTCTGTGAAGCTGGCTGTGACGTGAACATCAAGAACCGGGAAGGCGAGACGCCCCTCCTGACAGCCTCGGCCAGGGGCTACCATGACATCGTGGAGTGTCTGGCTGAACACGGAGCCGACCTCAATGCCTCCGACAAGGTGTGCTGCAGGCCACGGGTCCTACTTCCTGAAGGGCGATGTGGGAGAGGGGAGAGCTGGTGTTACTGCAAAGTCACTCAGTTTGTGCCCCTAAGATAACAAACCTGAATGCAGGCACTTGAAGTTATCCTTAATCTTCTGCATTCCACAGAGTCTGGGCGCTTCCCTAGAGTCTCTTTGATATTTAATATTGATGTCTGGCTTGTATCAGAATTTCTGAATTGATGGAGTGACTTCGGTCTCTTATGTTTAGCCTTTGTAAAAGCTTTGGAGTAAAAACAGTTGGGACCACTGGATTGAAAATGATCCTCTTGGACAAATGCAATTGGCCACACACTATTAATTTCTTTATTTTTTTCTTTTTTTAAAAATATTTGAGGTAGAGTTACAGAGAGGGAGAGACAGACAGAGAAGTCTTCCATCTGCTGGTTCACTCCCCAAATGGCCGCAATGGCCGGAGCTGGGCCGGTCTGAAGCCAGGAGAGAGGAGACAGGAATTTCTTCCAGGCCTACCACCCAGGTGCAGGGGCCCAAGGACTTGGGCCAACTTCTACTGCTTTCCCAGGCCATAACAGAGAGCTGGATTGGAAATCCCATATGGAGCAGCTGGGACTAGAACCGGCGCCCATATAGGATGCTGGCATCCCAGGCTGAGGCTTTACCCACCACACCACAGCGCCAGCCCCACACTATTAATTTCTAGATAAACAAAGAAATAGCTCATTTATTTACTTCCGTCACCTGTGGTTTTGTCAGAGACAATAGCTCAGTGGAACTGGCACGGTGATTTCAGTGCTAGACCGAGTGAAACCTTTTCCACTTAAGCACATTCAGCACACTGTTTTTTATTGTGAACTTGAACTTCGGGGGAAGCTGTGATGTTGCTGTAGGAGGAGGCATCCAAAAGTTCATAGAAAAATGGAATGAGATCATGTGCATTTCTCATGAACTTTTCAAAGACCTCTTGTGCCAAAGCACTGTGGGAAGTTCATAGAAAAAAGTGCGTTATGAAAACACGGTGCATGGATTTCAAGACATTTTTTGCACCAAGATAAACTCACCTTGGATTCCATTTTTCCATGAACTGTTTGAAGCTCCTTTTTATGTGGTTGGACTTGAGATGCTGGAGGTAATTGAGGAGTGTCCAGGAAGAATCTTCTAGGCACATGGTAGTCATTCTCAGCTTGGGGCAACTTTACCATAACCCATTTGATCAAGTCTGGGGATGTTTTGTTGTTGAACCAATCAGGGGTGGGCTTGCCACTGGCATCGGATAGGTCAAGGTCACAGGTGCTGCTCCAGGTCCCTGTGGCTCACAGGGCAGCCACTGTACCAAATGCCAGTCGTCCTGGACTGAGATGAGCTGCAGGACTGATGCAGAACCGTCCACCCGGCTTGTAAAACACAGCACATCTGTCCACCAGGGAATCTATAATGGGTGGAATGAATTCCCACAGAGCTTAAGCGTGTTAACAGCTGCTTCTCACGCTTATAACAGTCCTCCAACATGTTAGTTCCCATCAGTTTCTCAGCTTCCCCTGGTGCAAAATAACACAATAGGCTGGCTCCTTGCAAAGTTAGGAAGGCTGAGAACATGTTTTTTAGATTGTATTTCAAATACTTTGAGTAAACAGGCTGTTGAAGACCCAACAAAAAGTTACAAATTCAGAGACATAGAGAAGTGTGGATTCCCTTTTTCTTTCTTTTCTTTTTTGTTTTTTAATGATTGTACTTCCCAAGTGTAAAATAGTCAGATGGACAACTTAGGCTGTTAATATTCAGAGTGCAAAATACTAAGCTTCCTCCATCAGGAGGAAAGTTTATAATTTTTTTAAAGATTTATTATTTGAGAGAGAGACAGAGAGAGGGAGAGACAGAGAAAGATCTTCCATCTGCTGGTTCACTCCCCAAATGGCCAAAATGGCCTGAGCTGGGCTGATCCCAAGTCAGGAGCCAGGAGCTTCTTCCCAGTGTCCCACATGGATGCAGGGGCCCAAGGACTTGAGCCATCTTCTACTGCTTTCCCAGGCACATTAGCAGGGAGCTCGATCAGAAATGGAGCACCTGGGACTCAAACTGGTACTCATATGGGATGCTAGCACCGCAGGTGGAGGCTTAACCTGCTAAGCCACAGCACCAGCCCCCAAGTTTGTAATTTTTAAAAAATGTTCATGTATTTATTTTCATCTACTTGAAAGCCAGGGCAATGCAGAGAGACAGAGAAAGAGATCTTCATCTTCTGGTTCACTCTGCAGATGCCTGAGATGCAGGGCTGAGTCAGGCTAAAGCCAGGATCCTAGAACTCAAGTCTGGGTCTCCCACGTGGGTGGCAGGGACCAAGCACTTGAGCCATCGCCTGTGGCCTCCTGGGCACATTGGCAGGAAGCTTGATCAGAAGTGGAGCAGGAATACACCCATTGTCAGTGAAATCTCACTCAGTGGCAGCAGGGAAGGTCGAGGGCCCCGGGCCCCTGGGACAAGGGAGGAGCACTCACGGCCCCCCGGGTTGGTTTGCAGGATGGACACATCGCACTTCACCTGGCCGTCAGGCGCTGTCAGATGGAGGTCATCAAGACCCTCATCAGCCAGGGCTGCCTTGTGGACTTCCAAGACAGGCATGGCAACACCCCTCTGCACGTGGCCTGCAAAGACGGCAACCTGCCTATCGTGGTGGCCCTCTGCGAAGCAAACTGCCACTTGGACATCTCAAACAAGGTGAGCGTGGGCGCACAGCTGCCGCAGGTGGGGGCGGGGTCATCCGCCCATCTGCTGTTGGCTTTTCTTGGCTTCTCTGCACGGTTCCCAGGGAACGGCGCTGACCACAGGAATGCGTTCTTACAAGGTTCTGCTATTTCAAGTTGTGTTTCACGGGTGACTTTCGATCATTTCTTACAGTAACAGAAAATAGGACATTAAGCCTGGCTTAGCTTCTCACTGCTGGGTATCCCAAGGGTGTGTCTGTGTGTATCTGTGGTGTGTGTTTCCCTCTGTGTGTATCTAGTGTGTGTATGTGTTGCTATATATGTGAGTGTGCATCTCTGTGTATCTGTGGTGTGTGTTTCCCTCTGTGTGTGTGTGTATCTAGTGTGTGTGTGTGTTGCTGTGTATGTGAGTATGCATCTCTGTGTATCTGTGGGGTGTGTGTGTGTGTGTGTGTGTGTGTGTGCTGCTGTAGAAGAATCAGAGCATGTAGTACAAACTGGGCATCTTTCGGAGCATTAACTTTAGGAAGAACCCTATGACATCATAATTTGATCATGGTTCTTAGGATCTTTCTTTGCTTTGCCTTTTTTTTTTTCCTTTGAGAGTTTTAGGGCCCAAAGATCCTAGCATTTTTTTTAATTCTAATAAATTTGTTAAGACCAAATCCTATCTTTGCATGATTAAAAATTAAAATAATCAATTGTGTCCTCTTTGTTGCGTTTTAAAAATCCCATGTCTTTAGTTCTAGAAGTTGGCCATGCCCTTCCCTTTACCCTGAATCCCATCTTTATTTCTTTGTGGCCAAGTAAGATACAGCAGGTGGGTGTGCAGGTGCCCAGAGCCCTGCCTGTAGCCCCAAGAAAGGCAAGCACTATTCTGTTATGATTGGATTAGAAACAAAACCCAACTGGCATTATCTTTTTAATTGGGGGAAATATTTGTTTATAAATGGCATGTACCCTGCCAGCAGGATTTTATTAAAAAGAATTAATATCTGGAACAGCTAGAATGTTATATTTCTACTGAAGTACTCCTGTTGTGTATTACATGATTAGTTTTAATGGAAATGGAAATGGCTAAGCCTCACTGTCTGCGGATAGGAAAAGGTGGTCTCCCAGGTCTTGGCCGTTAGCCGCCGTTGGCTTTCTCAGCTTATCGCATTCTGATCTTGCCAAGTCAGCTGTGGAAGTGGCTTCAGGGGAGAGCCACACACAGTGTTAATAGCATCAAGACCTTGCTTTTCCTTCTAGCGTTCTTTAATTGAATCAAAAGTGGCTTCAAGGAACATGTGACTGCCTTTAGAACTGGCCACTGTGCACACAGTCAGCCTACTGTGTGTGAAGCGAGCTTTGCTAAGTGTACTCTTTTTTTTAAAAAAAAAGATTTTATTTACTTTATTTGAAAGAGTTACACAGAGAGAGGAGAGGCAGAGAGAGAGAGAGAGAGAGAGAGGTCTTCTATCTGCTGGTTCACTCCCCAATTGGCCGCAATGGCCGGAGCTGTGCCGATCCGAATCCAGGAGCCAGGAGCTTCTTCCAGGTCTCCCACGTGTGTGCAGAGGCCCAAGGAAGTTGGTCATCTTCCACTGCTTTCCCACAGCAGGGAGCTGGATCAGAAGTGGAGCAGCCGGGTCTTGAATCAGCACCCATATGGGATGCCGGCACTTCAGGGCGTTAACCCACTGTACCACAGCGCTGGCCCCTAAGTGTCCTCTTTACATTAAAACTCTAGCAAGTCAGCCTAAAAGAGTTTTTGAGCTCACAGGAGAGGAAGTCAGAGAGTGAGCTGGCTTGGAGACCACCTGCTCTCACAGTAACCAGTCCTGCTCCTAACCTAATTCATGCCATTGGACCGCACTCCCTTCTGAGGGTGGTGCCCCCAGTGGCTTAACCACCTCCCACTGGGCCCCGCCTCTTAAAGGGCCCGCCACTCCCAATACCATCACACTGGGACTAAGTGTTCCTGGTTTCCTTAAAAAAAAAAAAGAATGTGATGCAGGCTTTAGAGGCGCTTCAAAGAGAAGGGGGAAAGTTGGAGGAAGGCAGGGTTTCCCCAGCAGAGCACAGCCAACGTCAGACTCACTCAAAGACAGGTTGTCCACGTGGCCATGGCACCGGGTGTCCAGCTCCCTCGGGTGGACTGTCACTCTGTCCCCGTGCCGTTGTCTTGTCATCTTGCCTGGATTGAATTCCCACACAGGTAGCTATGCGACCAATCGAATCCTACCCCTGCCATCTGTCGGTCTTCAGGCCTTTCTCACACACGCATAGGTTAAATTCCTAACTTCCTACCTAACAGTTGCATCAGAATTTTAAAATGTTCTTCAGGGTCCCTTGGTCACCTGCCTGCAGCGTTGCCCTGAGATGCCCTGGCGCCCAGACCCACAGGCAAAAAAAAAAAAAAAAAACCCAAAAACCAGAAAATAAAACCGTGTTGGGTCCTTCCTTGAAGTTCACCTCACTGGGGCATCGGCTGAGGCTGTGCGTCCATCTGGCCCTCTGTGGCTGGGTTTGCACGTGCACCGCGTTGCAGTTCTTGCTGCCAAATTTGAGAAACCCCCACCTCCTTGCTGCCAGCACAGCAGGAAACCGAATGGAGCTCTTTGAAGTAAGTGACTCTTGCAGCAGCCAAATCCTGGCCCGCAGCTGCCTGGCCAGCCACTGCCAGAGGCCCAGGGCTTTCTGAGAAGGGCAGACGCCGCCTCCTGCTGCTTCCTGGTGATCCCACATTCACACTTCCCAAATGCTGTCCCTCAAGAACAGCACGAGGACTCTCTTGGGTCTTTGGTTTTTGAATTTTTTTTTTTGCCTTCCCAGTATGGACGAACGCCCCTGCACCTGGCAGCCAACAACGGGATCCTGGATGTGGTCCGGTACCTCTGTCTGATGGGTGCCAACGTGGAGGCGCTGAGCTCGGTGAGTAGCAGCCAGGGCTCTGGGCAGGGGAGCTGATGGGCAGGCGTCCTGGGCCCTGCCTGCTGTGGAGAGGGCCCCACCACCACCACCACCCAATCTATGACAGCCCGCCCTGGCAGTTACATAAACCTGGGCCCACGCAGCTGCAGCCCCGTTTAATGTCTGGTTAATGTTTCATCCTCTTACCTCCCCAGGCCTCGCTCTGCGGGAGTTCCTGTTGCTTCCCCCCAGCCTTTGTGCTGTGCCTCTTACACAACTGTGCCATGGAGCGTGTGTGTTTCCCTTTCCTGGATGCTCCCTCCCGGGCCCCAGGACACTGAGAGGCCCCCCGAGAGGGTGGTCCAGAGGAGGAAGGGGCACTTGTCCCCTGAGGGCAGGCTACCAGAGAGCTGCTGGCTGTGTTGCAAGGGCCTGCCTCTACTGCTAGGCCTGCGAAGTATTTTTTGTTTTTCATTTTTTAGAATTGTTTTTTTACTTAGTTGAAAGAGATCTTCCACTCACTGGTTCACTCCCCAGATGCCTGCAACAGCCAGGGCAAAGCTAAGCTGAAGCCAGGAGCCAGGAATTCCATCCAGGTCTCCCATGTGGGTGGCAGGGACCCGGTTATTTGGAGCATCACCCATGGCCTCCTGGGGTGAGCCCTGGCAGGAAGCTGGAATGGGAAGCAGAGCCAAGATGTGAACCCAGGCACTCTGGTTGGGGTTGTGGGTGCTCGAAACGGAGTCTCAACCTATGCACCAGCCACCAGTCTCTGCACACTGGTTTTCAACACAAAAGGCACTGGCTACTGTGCTGTACTTGACCAATGTAACAGGGCATATGTATGCATTTTTAAGAGGAAATTATTTTTGTTCAGGATGTCGCCTCGCATAAAACTTAGCAGAGATGGCTTTGAAGATGCCAGGGCTGACTCTTGCCACACTCCGGCAGGGTGGCCAAGCCTGCAGCACTGTGTGACCTCTGACCTCTATGGGGGCTCTGGGAGCCTGTGGCCTGCCCCCTCTGCCCTTGCCCATGTGTCACCGTCCTCACATCATCACCCTACAGGGCAGCTTCTGGCCCTGCACGGCCGCTCCCATGCATAACCCGGGAGCTGCCTCGTCTGACATCCACGTAACCAAGTGCACGCTGCACACCAGGCACCACTAAGAACAGGAAATGCGGTGCTATGAGAGAAACTTCTGGAAACTTCTAGAAAATGGGAGAGAGGCACAGTCATTTAATATACAATCACTGAGTGGGGCGAGCATGGTGGCAAGACAGAGCGGGGTCCCAAGGGCATGCCTGGGACTGGAGACCCGGAGGGCTGGTGGTCGGCAGAGGGCAGAGGTGTGATGTAGGGTACCAGGCACAAGGCTTGGGCTGGCAGGGCAGGTCAGCGAGACTGGCATGGGGAGTTGCCAAGGCAGGTGCAGGGGTGGGCAGGGCGGGAGTGCGCCCGGCCTTGGTGGTCAGGGGAAGATGGGGCTTCCTGTTGCTTGCAGCAGGGCAGTGGCGGGACTTGGCACCGGGGACGTGGCCAGCGGGCACATCTGTCATCCTCAGTGTGCCAGTGGCCCTGTTAACCAAGGAAATGGATTTCTGTGGGCACAGTCTTTCAACCTGGGATCGCTGTTGTGAAATGACTGCCGTCTCTCACGTGCTTTGAGCGCTCGAAGTTTCCAGCTGTGGATTCTGTGCCCCCAGAGCGTCTGTCCTGACCCAATTCCCGGCCCTGGGCGGAGCGAGCGGCCACTGTCTCTGTCCCTGCCTAAGCCACCTTACCCCCTCCAAAATAGCCCTGGGCCCAACAGCGCCCTCTAGCTGCCGCCTTCCCTCTCCCTTTCTGTCCTCAACCAGGAGGACTTCAGCCGTGTCCCCAACATCTCCCTGCCTCCTGCCCCTCCCCGCACCCTGCACTCCCTCCTCTACCTCCCCTGACTCTCAGCTACTTCCTTTCCAAGCTACCTTTCTTTCCAAACGTCTTTTATGAGAGATAGCAGACACAGAGGAGTGCGGCCACCCACCCGTGGGCTCCCCTATATGCCCACAGCAGCCCCCAGTCTGGCATTCAGGAACTCCATCCAGGTCTCTCCCGCATGCGTGGCAGGAAGCCAGTCACTTGAGCCATGCCTCCTAGGGTGAGCAGTAACAGGACGCTGGAACTGGGAACCAGATCTGGGTGTGGAGCCCGGGGACTTGGGCGTCTTAACCACTGCGCCAAGTGCCTGTACCCCAGACTTCAAGGGATAAGACAGACTTTCTGGAAAATCAAAGCACGTGAACAGATGTGAATCATCACAGAACGACATTGGGATCCCACTCAGGCACCCCAGAAGCCTCCAGGCCTGGCCCAAGGGTAGCCCCCCTACCCTGGCTGTAACCACCCAGCCCTCTGCCATTGCTGGTCCTTGCTGCCTTGCGCCTCCCAATCCGCTGGCCCGAGGCCCCCTCACAGCTTTTCATCCATTTCACTGGTTCCCTCGTCATCAGCTGGTGTACAGGTACTGGAAAAAGTTCATGGAAAATAGAATTAAAAGATAAGTTTGGTTTGGCTGCAAAAAACAAAAATGAAATCCATGCATATGACACATCAGAAAAAATCTGTAGAAGATGCATATTATGAAAAAAATGCATGAATGGGAAAATGTTTGCACCAAAATTCCTTTTTTCTGGTGTGACCTTAGGAAGTGCCTTCGTATTTGCCACTCCGTGATGCAGTCTCCTGCCAGGGACAAGAAACTGCCGCTGGCCCCCGCCTCTCCCCCAGCACATGGCTGTGCCTTCCCCATCTCTGCTCTGTCCTCCCCCGGGCCTCTCGCGGGCCCCTGGCCTGCAGCCCCCACCGACTCCTAAGGCGCACAGCCAGGTGTTTCTGGTCCCCACTTTGTCCTGAGTGCCACCTCCCACACTGTGTCCTCTGTCCCCTGCACCTGCTCGTCTTCATCCTCTGGGTCTCACCCAGACGCCACCTTCCCTCACCTCAGTGAGAGAGCTGGGAGGTGCGCTGGGGCTCCTTGCCTGGGGAGGCTCTGTTCCTTCACCCAGCGGGGACGGGGGGCTCCCTTCCGACGCCCGCCTCCGGTTTCTGCCCGGGACTGTTGGAGTCAGTGTGTGGCGCACACGCTCCCTTGTGCAGAGAACATCCAGCTCTCCTCTCTTCCCGACAGGACGCGAAGACCGCCGAAGATCTGGCACGATCGGAACAGCACGCGCACGTGGCAGGTCTCCTCGCCAGGCTCCGAAAGGTGAGAGACTCTGGTTCTCCGTGTGGAATTCCCCAGCAGGTGTTACGTGAACAGTCCTCGCTCTCCCTTGTCCACGGACAGAGCAGGGCAAGCTCGTTGTGGGCGGTAGCCCCCCCCACACACACACACTCCGGAGCTCCCAGAGGGGCTGTTGTGCAGGAGGGTCGGGCTGCTCGGAGCTCTGCAGCGCCTGCCCCGACTGCCCTGCAGGGCGGCAGAATCTTCTAGAAGCAAGGAAACCCTTAGACGTGTTTGCCTTCGTCACCCCACAAGGCCTCCAGCCCGCGTCTCTGCCGGGCACTTCTGACCAGTCTGTCCTCGTGTTAAAAAAGTGACCCCCAGGTTAGCCACTGACGGCTCTAGGCGCACCTTGGGGTAGCTGACCGGAAGTGACCCAGCCGTCGCTGTCCGGTCCAAGAGGCATACCCGGGTGAGCAGGGGCTGCGGCAGCCACAGGAGCCCCCTGCAGGGGTGCCGGGGATGGGTGTGTGGCAGGTGGAGGGGGTCACGTGCAGATGCTGCCATCCACAGCCCACGGACTTGGGGGACCATGCCCCCACTGTCTGCCAGTATGCTTCTTCGGGTCGTATCCATGTTGGTTCTGGGCGGGGTTGCCCGTCTGTCCAGCAGAAAGAGCCGGAACCAAGTCCGGATCTCAAGCAGAAAGCCTAGTCCCAGGAGGGCGAGTTCTGCCCACCGGCCAGAACCAACTGGCTGAGGCTCAGGACCCTCCTCAGCCAGGGGGCCGGGGTCTCCCACGCCCGCCAGCAGAGCCAGTGGGAAGGCGGTGCAGGGCTGTGCCTTGGAGCTCAGGGCCGGGCCAGCCAGGTAGAGCCCCAAGGCTCTGGGCCCTGGGCCTGTGCTTGCACAGGGAGCCTCTGGCTGTTGGTTCCTTGAGAACAACAGCCCTGGTGTGCATTTTGGGGGAATTCTGGGTCTGGGGTGCCATCTGGTGGTAAAACAGCGACCACAAACTCAACAGCCATCCTGCTGCAGAACATGGCCTGGCCCGCCCTCTAGCGCTGAGTGTCGGGATTGTCCACCGGCCCAGAAGCAGCCGACTGCGTAGGATTTCTGGAAGACAGGCGGTTTGCAGGAATAGGAGGGAAAAAGTCCTAGTCTTGTCATGCGCACACCGTTGAGGTCTGCCAGCAAGCATCCAAACCTTCAGGGAATCAAGGCCTCCTTTAATGAACAGAAGAAGGTGTCAGCAACCAAGCAGCGGGAGAGCTGTCAGTTGGTACGGCATTCACGGCCGCCTGGCTCCTCTGCTCCCACGGTGGAGCGCCTGGGTGGAGACTCAGCTCTGCTGCTCAGTCCAGCTTCGAGGCAGCAGGTGACGGCTCAGGTTAGCTGGGTCCTTGCCCACCCCTGGGGGAGACCCGGATTGAGTTCCGGGCTCCTGGCTTCAGACCCGGCCCCTGCTGTTGTGGGCATTTGGGGAGTGAACCGCCTATGGGAGATCTCTGTCTGCCTCTCTGAAATAAGCATTTTTTTAAAAGGAACCCAACTGCAGAACTTAAAACTAGTCCTTTAAGGAAACGCAGAGAAATTTAGGAAAACATAGAGGAACAATTCATTTCTGTAGCAGACAAAGTTGACAGAATCAATTTTTAAAAATCAAATCCTTGAGTGCAAAAGTATTTTTCAAAAAAAAAAATTAAGAACATGACAGAAGCCACCAGTAGCAGAATAGATCAAGCAGAAGGGAGAGTCAGTGATCTAGAAGACAGGCTATTTGGAAATACACAGAGGAGAGTGAAGAATACTGAGAAAAGCTAATGGCAACTATGGGACATCATTAAAAAGCAAATATCCACATCACTGGAGTGCACGAGCGACTTGAGGAGGCCAGAGAGGTGGAAGCATATTCAGACAGTGACAGGAAAGTTCCCAACGGTAGAGGAGACACAGCTGTCTGAGATGCAGCAGGTTAGAGGTCACCAGTTTCAGCTCAACCGAGTCTCCCCCAAGACACATCGTAATCAAGCTCTCCAAGGTCAGAGCTAAAGGGGATTCTCAACGCTGCATGAGGAAACAGCACAGAAGGGTGTCCCGGTTCAGTTGGCCGCGGACCTCTCGGCAGGAGCCTTGCAGGCTGGGAGGGAGGAGGGCGAGACCCGTTCACTCCTGCAGGGGGAGAACCATCCACCCAGAACACTGTCCCCAGCAACGCCGTCTTTTAGGCGTGAAGGAGGCATCGAGACATTCACAGGCAAAGCAAAGCTCAGAGAATTCGCCTCCACCAGACCCGCCCCGCAGCTAGAGGGAGTGCTGCAGATTGAAAGGAAGAGGGGCTGGCGTTGTGTTGCATCAGTGGCATTCCGTCTTGGAGCACGGGTTCAGCTTCTGGCTGCTCCGCTTCCCATCCAGCCTCCTGCTTATGCACTAGGGAAACCAGCGGATGTTGGTCAAAGTGCTTAGGTCCCTGTCATGTATGTGGGACACTCGGATGGAGTTTCTGGCTGCTTGCTTTAGCCTGGCGCAGCACAAGCTGTTGCAGGCATTTGGGGAGTGAACCAGCAGATGGAAGATCTCTCTCTCTCTCTCTGCCTCTCCCACTCTCTCTGTAACTCTGATTTTCAAATAAATAAATCGTTATAAAAAAAGAAAAAAATTGAGGGGAGAATGGAGGTTCACCAATGCTGGGAAAGTAGGCGTATGGGGAGATTAGGAAGGTTGACAGATAGTAAGCTGTAGTCAGGGGAGAATGTTCTGGTGTTCTGCGTACAATAGGGTGGCTATAGGTAACAATAATGCGTTTTTTACAAAAATGCTAGAAGAAAAGTTTTCTAATGTCTTCACCAAAAAGAAGTGATACATGTTGGAGAGTGGGCTTGGGTCTCCCCCTGAATTGAGCATTCCAGGATAGACCCTCCACGTCTGGGGACCTCGCCACCTGCCTGTGGGTGGCAGCAGCAGGAGGAGGCGCTGGCAGTGAGACGTGCCTCTGCTCTGCTCCACGAGTCACTGCCCGTGGCTTCTGTCTCTGTCTCCCTGGCATTTCCCATGACTTCTTTGCCAGGGCTGTCCTCTCACTCCTTAAACGAAAGTGCACGGATGAGGTGTTGTCGACCCAGATAAGATGCCCAGGGAGTGCCCTCGCTGTGGTGCCTTGCTGCCGCACAGAGATGGAGTGGGAGAGTGGGAGCTGTCCCTGTGTGCAGCCGTGGGCACATGAGTGACAGGGGCGCCTGCACATCCCAGGAGGACTGGCGGCCGCTGGGTTGGCACAGGAGCGTGCCGACACGACTGCGACAAGCCATCGCGATTTTTTGAAAACCCCCAAGTGTATTTATCCACTGTTCTTATGAAATAGCCCCAGCCCTGGAAAACTCAGGACATAGTAAAGCATGTCCCTGAAGCCCCTCTGACTTACGTGTTGACTGCAGTAATGTTCTCAGCTCATGATTTTCGACATTTTTCTTCTGTCTTCAAAAAAAAAAAAAAAACCTACGCATGGCTTCAGAGTTTTTTTGGCACCCAAATAAACTTACCTTTCCATTCCATCTCTTCCACGGACTTCCAGAAGCACCCCGGTAAATGCTCGGTCCAGCATTATGGAACCGAGAATGCCAGTGCAGATTCCCACAGTGACCAGTAGGGGGAAGTGTTGCCCTGTTGAGAAAGATTGGTTCCAGTTTAGGCATAGAAACGCAGGCGGGAAGTTGGAGCTGTCAGGAGAGTTATGGGTCTGTGAGCACATAATTATTAATGGGAAAGTAGCAGTGCTCAACTGGATGTCGTTGGCAAGAAATGCTGACTCCCCCCCTCTCCCCCCAGGACCTAGAGCTGATGGAAAGTCCAGCCAAGTGTAGAAATCCACAATGATGTCCTCGCCGGGGTCCATTCTGAATGAGGCCATCTATACAACTCCTGTGGCTTTTAAAAAATCTCTATTACAGCCGGCGCCATGGCTCCATAGGCTAATCCTCCACCTGTGGCACCGGCACCCCGGGTTCTAGTCCCGGTCAGGGCGCCGGATTCTGTCCCAGCTGCCCCTCTTCCAGGCCAGCTCTCTGCTGTGGCCGGGGAGTGCAGTGGAGGATGGCTCAAATGCTTGGGCCCTGCACCCCATGGGAGACCAGGAGGAAGCACCTGGCTCCTGGCTTCGGATCAGCGTGGTGCGCCAGCCGCGGCGGCCATTGGAGGGTGAACCAACGGCAAAGGAAGGCCTTTTTCTCTGTCTGTCTCTCTCACTGTCCACTCTGCCTGTAAAAAAAATCTATTATAGCTCCTGGCTCCTGGTTTCAGCCTAGTCCAGTGCTGGCCATTGAGGTCATCTGAGGAGTGAGCCAGTGGATGGTAGATACCTCTGTGAGTGTGTGTGTATGTGTGTGTGTGTGTAACTCTTAGCAAAATAAATAAATAAAAAATATAAGAGAGAGGGAAAAAGAGATCTCTCTTCCACTGGTCCATTCCCCAAATGCCCCACGAAAGCCGGGCTGGATGAGGCTAAGGCAAGAAGCCGGAAACTCAGTCCAGGTCTCCCCACATGGGTGGCAGGGACCCAGTTATTAGAGCTCACTGCTGTCTATAGGGCTGCATCAGCAGGAAGCCAGAGTCAGGATCCATATCAAACCCAGGCACTGTGATGTGGGATGTGAGCCACTTAACCTTCACCTTCATTGCGAGGCTAAATGCCTGCCCCAACCCAACCCCTGTCCGTCAAGTATCCTGCACACACCACCCACTGACAGTGCCATCCGTGCCCCGAGCCCGCTGCTAGTCGGGGGACAGAGCCCTGCCTCATTCTGCTGTCCAGGGTGGTCTCGCTGCCGAGCCATGCCTGGCCCGGGCTGCCTGGGAGCTGGGGGGCTCCAGCAGAGGGGCCGCTGCAGGCAGGGGTGAAGGGAGAGACCCCAAGCTGCACGGGGCAGCTTGCCGACACCATCCCATTAGAAGCACTTGTGGTCGGTTTTATTTGCACAGCCCGTGTGGCTGTAACGGATCCGGGCTGAGTCTGTGCACCCCAAACCCCATTCCCTGCCCTGTGCTGAGCCCCTCTGTGGGCGGATGAGTGAGTGAGTGAGTCTGAGTGGTCCGTGTCAGGGGAGACCCCTGCTTCCGTAGACAGAGAGAGAAGAAAGTGGGGAGGATACTGTGCCTCCAGCCCCTTTGCCACAGGTTGCCTTGTGCCTGCCCTCCTACCCCATTACAGCGTCAGCCCCTACCCTGCTGGTCAAACAAGCGCCCCCTGCTGGTCAAACAATGGCTCATCCTGTTTTCGTGTTGAAGTTCCCTCTTCCCAATTCCTCCACTCGACTTGCTGTGCACTGGAAGGCAGTGGAGACAGGCACATCCACAGAGACTGAGAGCAGATCGGTGGTTGTCAGGGGGTGGGGAGGGGAGGCAAGGCCCTGCTTCCTGCTGGGAGAGTTTCCTTTCGGGGGTGGGAGTTGGTGAAAGTGGTCTGGAACTAGATACAGTGATAGCTTCTATGTTGGGAACGCACTGAAAGCTTCCGCAGTGTACACTCTGAAATGTCAATTACAGACCGCAGTGCATTGATGGGGAGCACCCCGCCCCGCCCCGCCCCGCCCCTGGCTGATTGGCGGCTCTCCTCCCCCTCCCCCAGGACACGCACCGAGGGCTCTTCATCCAGCAGCTGCGGCCCACGCAGAACCTGCAGCCCAGGATCAAGCTCAAGCTGTTCGGCCACTCCGGGGCTGGGAAGACCACGCTCGTGGAGTCTCTCAAGTGCGGGCTGCTCCGGAGCTTTTTCAGGAGGCGCCGGCCCAGGCTGTCCTCCACCAACTCCGTCCGCTTCCCGCCCTCGCCCCTGGCCACCAAGCCAGCAGGTAGGAGCCCCTGGCCGAGCTGTCCGCCCTGGCGGTGGCTGCCACACTCCGCCGGCGCACCGTCTGTCCCTGGGCCTGCGGCCGAGCACCATGGCCCTGGTGGCTTTCAGGTGTGGCCCAGGGAGTCAGCTAGCCTCGGGCCTGCTGATCTTGTCCAGCAGGGACAGACCCCCACTGGGTGGCCCCCACTGAAACACAGGAAGGGCCTCGCCGACCCCCTCCGGGGCCCACACAGGGCTGGATGTGGCTGGGTGTGTGAGTGCAGGTTGCACGTGCCCTGCTCCGGACGCCACCCTCAGCCACAGGGCAAGGCCGGGCAGCGATGCTCCAAGCACAGCTTGGAGCGGATACCGGCCATGGGCGGGGGGGGGGTGCTCCCGTGTGCTTCCTCCCAGGAGGGGTGCATGCGCCCCCAGGCCCGGGCTACCCCAGCTGCACCATGGGATCCCTTGGATGGTAGCAGTGGCCACACCGCCACCCCACATTGTACAGCTGGCCCTACCACGTGCAGACCAGACGGTGGACGCATCCTGCCCAGAACCACGGGGGGCCATCCATGCTCCCACCAGGGAGCCCCCGCCCCAGACAGGAGGAACGTCTGGGATCCTGGGTGTCACTCTTCCCAAGGCCGCTTGAGAGGGAGGGAGGGAGGGAGGGAAGGAATTTGTCTTGGGGAAGAGCAGAGAGACCTCCCGAGAGCTTTCTGAGGCCTGGCCTAGCAGCTGAGTCAGCTCCACTTTCCTGCGTGAGCTCACCCAGGTGACCTGGCTGTCCCCGGGGTGGAGGGGGCTTCCCCGGGTTGCGTCTCTGTGTCCTTGTGCTGAATTGAGTGAGGTGGGATATCAGGGAGCTTCTCTTCCCTTCCTGTTTTTTTTTTTTTTTTCTTGTCTTTCTCTTTCTCTCTCTCTCTCTCTCTTTTTTTTTTTTTAATCATTTTGAAGATTTACTTATTTGAAAGGCAGAGTTACAGAGTGAGAGAGAGAGAGAGAATCTCCATCTGCTGGTTTACTCCCCACATGGCTGCAACAGCCAGGGCTGGACCAGGCCAAAGCCAGGATCCAGGAGCTTCTTCCAGGTCTCCTACGTGGGTGCAGGGGCCCAAGGACTTGGGCCATCTTCCACTGTTTTCCCAGGCCACAGCAGAGAGCGTGATGGGAAGAGGAGCAGCCGGGACTTGAACCTGCTCCCATGTTGGATGCCAGCACTATAGGTGGCAGCTTTACCCACTACACCACAGCGCCTGCCCCTTCCTCTCTCTTAAAGGGAAGACGGGCCCATATCACAGACCTGCCGAGGTCTTCACGCCAGACAGCTGGTGGCTACCAGCTGCCCAAAGACCTTCACGTGGAATGCCCTGGGGCCGGCGCTGTGAGGCAGTGGGTTAACACCCTGGTCTGAAGCACCGGCATCCCATATGGGCACTGTTTCCAGTCCCAGATGCTCCTCTTCTGATCCAGCTCTCTGCTGTGGCCTGGGAAAGCAGTGGAAGATGACCCAAGTTCTTGGGCCCCTGCACCCATGTGGGAGACCCGGAGGAAGCTCCTGGCTCGTGGCTTTGGATCGGTGCAGCTCTGGCCATTGCAGCCAATTGGAGAGTGAACCAGTGGATGGAAGACCTCTCTCTCTCTTCCTCTCTCTCTCTCTCTCTCCCTGCCTCTACTTCTCTCTGTGTGTAACTCTGACTTTCAAAGAAATAAATAAATATTTAAAATAAAAAAGCAAACCCCCTGTCTTGCGCTGGGGTACAGCACTGTCGAATGCCACAGGGTACAATGATCATTTTGCATTCAGTCCAAAGTCACATCTTGGGGCTCCTGGTATAGCATACACCCAGGAGGCCTCAATGCAGGGTCGGAGTTGAGGCCACTTTGAGGCAAGAGCAAAGCCCCCATGGGCAGGTGGCCGAGGGGCCACAGCCTCCCTGGAGGCGGGGAGTGGGCAGGAGAAACCGCAGGGGTCACTGAGGATGCTGGCACTCCCGGGAGAGGCTGCAGGAAGGGACTAGGGGAGCGATGACCCTGTCTTTCCTCCCACCTGCTCCAGCGCCTCCCACAGGCCATCCCTAAGCAACAGCCAAATAATAGCACAGCAGGGAGACCCAGCCCAGGGCCCAGCACAACAGAGGCAGAGGGCTCTGGGCAGAAACAGTCCACAGAGCTTCCGCGCACAGCACCCAGGAGGGCCCCACCCTGCTCCGCCCGGGGCCTGCCCGGGGCAGGAGAGAGCGACGGCCTCACCCCGCTCCGTTCTGGCCCGCAGTCTCCGTGAGCATCAACAACCTGTACCCGGGCTGCGAGAACGTGAGCGTGAGGAGCCGCAGCATGATGTTCGAGCCGGGCCTCACCAAGGGCATGCTGGAGGTGTTCGTGGCCCCGTCCCACCACCTGCACTGCTCGGCCGACGACCAGTCCACCAAGGCCATCGACGTCCAGAACGCCTATCTGAACGGTACGTGCGCCGCTGTCCTGCCAGAGGGAGCTTGTTCCATGGGGTGCTTGTCGCATCGGGAAGGAAATCCCAGTTCATGCTGGTCCTGGGGGTCACCCATATGAAGTACAGTAAACCCTGGGGTGTCCCCAGCACCCAGCAGAGCACCTATCCCGGGGGACAGGTGCTTGGGAAACGGCTGTGGGGTGGACGAACACCTTTTGGAAGCAGATCTCAGGGCCCACTCAGGTGGGTCGTAAGACAGTCACCTGTGGTGTGACAGGGCCACAGAAGAGGAAGGGCACTTGGCAGGTGCTCTAGGCCCCGAGCTGACGCGCTGGTCCCCGGGGGGCTGGTCCCTTCCCCAGGTGGAGTCTTCAGCGTGCTCTGGGCTCCCAGACGGCCCCCCAGGGACGGTGGCCTTCTTCTCATAAACTGTGGCATCTTCCCTGCTGGGCTCCGGGGCCTCTGGGGCCCCCTCCTCAGCCAGAGGCACCCGAACGGGAGCCCTGTGCCTCGCTAAGACGCAGTTTTAGGATGCAGCACCTGGATCTGAATCCTGGGGCTGCCGCCTCGCTGAGACTAAGGCTGCTGCCTTCTGCCCTTAAGCTTGTCAAAATAAAATAAACATGTTTAAGTGATAAGTTTCTAAGAGGCAGTGTCAGGGACAGGAGCAAGGGAGGTAGGCATTCCTGTTTCAAAAGAGAGGACCATGCAAGAAAAAGGAGTCGGCAATGGGGCACACACTGAGTCTTAGGGCTCTGGGTCTGGCATGGTGGGGGACCCCGGGGCCACGGGTGGCCCTGCCCCACGATATACATGGCATGCCACTGCCCAGAGCCCTCCCCGTCCCTGGGTGGTGGTGTCTGTTCACTGTCGGCACCTCCTTGTGCTGCAGGTGCAGCTCTGCTCTGCCAGCCCCACTAGGCCTTCCAGTGGGGAATCTAAGGGGTGGGTGCCCCCTGCAAGCCTCTGCCTGGTCTCCTAGGTCACCACCCCCGCCCCCCAAACCCCCTACTCTTAGATTCCATGAGTTTGCAGAATCTCAAACCCATGGACACCCCTGAGGTCTGCTGCCCACACACAGCTTGAACCCCTGGGCCTGCTCCTTGAAACTGTTTTTTTTTTTTTTTTCTTTTTTTAAGATTTATTTATTTATGTTAAAGAGTTACACAAAGAGAGAATGAGAGGCAGAGAGAGAGAGAGAGAGGTCTTCCATCTGCTGGTTCACTCCCCAGTTGGCTGCAACAGCCAGAGCTGCGCTGATCCGAAGCCAGGAGCCAGGAGCTTCTTCCAGGTCTCCTACGTGGGTGCAGGGGCCCAAGCACTTGGGTCATCTTCCACTGCTTCCCCAGGCCACAGCAGAGAGCTGGATCGGAAGTGGAGCAGCCGGGACTCTAACTGGTGCCCACATGGGATGCCAGCACTGCAGGCGGTAGCTTTACCCTAACCCTACACCCTACACCCTAGCCTTTACCATATGCCCTTGAAACTTTTTTCCTCCTAGGCCTCTGGACCGGTGCTGGGAGAGGTGGCCTTTCCCACCCTGTCCTGACAGTCAGCTAATCTGCGGGGTGACCCCGGCTGCACCCTCCCCTGCTGCACCTGCTGTGTTGTTCTTTCTGTGGCCAGGCCTGGCTCTTCCCCGTCTCTGCGCTCTGCAGGTCTCCCCTCACCTTGCAAACCTCCCCAAGCATGGCCGTGTGCCACAGTAGCCCGGCTGCCCGGCTGCTGAGCGGTTTCCTGAGGCCCTAGGGCGTGGAGACAGTCCAGCCAAGACCTTGGCTGCTTCCTGACGAGGGAAGCGTTCCCTGGGATCGCCTGTGATGCTCCACGTGATTGAGCTGTTGGCTTTTCTCTGGCCTGCTCCTCGGGCCCTCCCCGCCTGAACCAGCTCACCACATCCAAGGACTCTGACACCTACATGGCAGCTGCACTCCCAGGCCTGGCGCCCTGTGTTAGTGCACATCCCGTTTCTGTGATAGGAAACTTCATCAAGAAAGTAGGCTCACCAGGCTCACAGTGTGGGGCGGAAACCCCAGGTGACCTGACTCCATCTCTTTGATCTCTGGCCAAGGCCCCCCCTGCTTGTCTGCTTGAGAACAAGGCCATGGTGTCAGGGTGGGAGCACAGGGCAGGACCGGGAGCCAGAGGCCAGGGAGGGGACCAGGCTTTCAGCAGGGGGAACCCTTTGGGGGCAAGACACAGCCACACCATAGCAGGAGCTGATAACACCTGCTTCATAGAGATGCCATGAGGGTGTTGTGGGCCAGTCGGGGTTAAAGGGCCTGGGGTAGAGTCTGGCCTGTGATGTCAATCACCATCATCATTGTCACATAGCCCCTTAGTGCCCTGAACCCAGTGAGCACTAGCATACTCAGTGTTTATGACCTGACACGCGAGGCGTGAATGGCCTGATTGTCGCCTGGGGTCTTCTGACCACACAGACGGCTTGCTGGGCCCCTGCTCCCAGGGTGCCCGAGTCCAGGGGTCTGTGAGGCCCCAGGTGATGCGGAGGCTGCTGCCCTGGGGACCCCACTTGGAGAACCACACGCCCTGATGAGTACAACTGAAATGCACACGTGCGTTGCTCTTCAGAGCTGAGTGTCCTCCCAGCTGCCCCGAGCAGAGATGGCCTGGCAGCACAGGGAGAGCAGGACTTGTCCTTGGACTGTGCCATCCCGGCCCTTCACCTCACCTTAACCCACATCCAACCCCAGCACTCCCAGGGCCTGTTTCTGTCTTCTAGAACTTTCTATACTCAGCCTGAGCCCTACAGGCTCCGAGAGTGATGGACGTGGCCCTCCAGGATCAAGCCCATTGCTAGGGGTCAGGTCACTTGGGTCTGGGCATTTGGAGGGTCCTAGGGAGGCCCTGTGTGGGTCAGGATCTCACCAGCTGGGGGCCGCATTGTTTCATGGCAGATAATTCCATATGGGGGCACCAGCCGAAGCCCCGGCTACTCTGTTTCTGATCCAGCTCTCTCTCTCGTGCCTGGATTTGCAACAAAATACCTGGACCCAAGGACCTGGGTCCCTGCAACCCATGTGGGACTCCCAGTTATAGGCTCTGGCTCTGGCCGTTGAGGCCATTTGGGGAGTGAACCAGGAGATGGAAGATCTGTTTCCTCCCATCCCCCATTGCGCCACCTTCCGAATAAATAAAAATAAATTATTGAATAAGACCAAAAGCATCTCACCAACTGCACCCACAGCTCTGCCACCATGCACCCTTTCACCTCTACTTGACCCTGTCCCAATCTGAAAGACCCCGCCTCCTCATAGACCCCCTCACAAGCAAAACTGCCCGTCATCTCTGCACCTCACTTCCGCAGGTGGCAAGTCCCTCGCTCAGACTATGCGAGACGAGACTTCATATTCCATTTCTTGGTGACGTGCCCACTTGCCATCTTGTACCCCGTATGCTGGATAGGATGCACGCTAGCTGCAGGCTTTTTCACGTCCACTCTCCCAGTCACTCCTGTCCGTGGCCTGGGGTACAAAATAGGCCTTGCATTCCCCTGACTGTATCCCATCGGGAGTAGCCCCCTATAGGGAAAGGTGACACTAGGGAATGCATGTCTAAGACAGTGATGGTGGAAAGTCAGTGAGAAGTCCCCTGTCTGGGGGTAAGGCAGCATTTGCACACACACACACACACACACACACACACGCACACGCGTGCGCACGTGCGCACCATGGAGGCAGTTCTCCCGATTCGGGGTCTCAAGCATGGGAACTGTGCCTGCGGTTTCGGGGGCAGGGGGTCTTGCCGTGACCACCTCCCCATGTGCTCTTATCCCGCTGCAGGCGTGGGCGACTTCAGCGTGTGGGAGTTCTCTGGAAATCCCGTGTACTTCTGTTGCTACGACTACTTTGCCGCCAACGACGCCACGGCCATCCACATCGTAGTGTTCAGCCTGGAAGAGCCCTACGAGATCCAGCTGAACCAAGTGATTTTCTGGCTCAGTTTCCTGAAGTCGCTGGTCCCAGTCGAGGAGCCCATAGGTAACGCTAGGCCGCCTGGGGAAGAGCGCCTGGCCTCCCGGGGGCCGGCTGGCCGGGAACCCGTCTCTCCCTGCAGCTTCCTGCTCCGCCTCAGCTGCTGGCTCTGCAGCCCGGCCCTGGGCCACCCTCAGCCCTGCAGCTCCCTGTCCCTTTGCTTCTCCTTGGTGCTGGGGGAGGTGGACCCCAGGCAGCTTCCTGGGCTCTGCTGGGTCAGATGCACGATCCTGAGCAGTTAGTTCATAGAGATCAGCGTCTTCCTGTGCCGCATGCCGTGTGGAATCCCGGCTTTCACGGCCACTGCGCCTTCAGTCTGCAGACACTCAAGAAAAGGCCCAGGTAGACGGAATAGAGTGTCTACACTTGGTTCCAGAGGAGATTGGATAACCCTAGATAGAAGCCTTTTGTTCTCAATGTAAACAAGACATGCAGCCTGGGGCCAGTGCCCTGGCACAGTGAGTTAAGCCGATGCCTACAACACCCCCATCCCATGTGAGCGCCATCCCATGGGAGCACAGTTTCGAGTCCCGGCTGCTCCACTTCCAATCCAGCTCCCTGCTGTGGCCTGGGAAAGCAGCAGAAGATGGCCCAAGTGCCTGGGCCCCTGCACCCACGTGGAGACCCAGAGGGAATTCCGAGCTCCTAGCTCTGGCCTGGCCCAGTCCCAGCTGTTGCTCCACTTGGGGAGTGAACCAGACGTCTCTGTCTCTCCCCCCACCCTTTGTAGTTCTGCCTTCCAAATAAATCTCTTTTAAAAAGGCAGGGGATATGGGGAAGGGTGGCGGGGAGAGGCAGAGTACAGAGAGGAAGAGGGAGAGGGAGACAGAGAGAGATCTTCCATCCACTGGTTCACTCCCCAGTTGGCTGCAACAGCTAGAGCTGTGCAGATCCAAAGCCATGAGCCAGGAGCTTCTTCTGGATCTGCCACGTGGGTGCAGGGGCCCAAGGACTTGGGCCATCCTCCACTGCTTCCCCAGGCCACAGCAGAGAGCTGGATCAGAAGTGGAGCAGCCGGAACTCGAAGTGGCACCCATATGGGATGCCAGTAGTGCAGGCAGCGGCTTGACCCCCTATGCCACAGTGCCGGCCCAGCAACTGCTCCCTTAAGCCATCCCTGCAGAGATGCTACATTCTGGGGAGCAGTGCTGTCCAGGGCATCGTCCTTGTCGGAGGGTGCGTCTGCGCCCGCGCATGGCAGGGCTGCCTGGAGGAAGGCCCAGGGAGCTGCCTTTTGTTCCGTTGCTGATTCTGCTCCACTCCCACGCGGGCTTCCTCACCACCCAGGAAGAGGCCCAGCCTGTTGTTGGCCATGCCTGGGTCATTGCACAGGTCACCCTGCACAGCAGCCACGGGGTCCTGAATTCTAGGGACAGACCAGCCCTGCCCCTGGGCAGGACAGCCAGCCAGGTGGGAGGAGCCACGTCCCAACATGGTTCACTCCTCCTCTGTCCGCAGCCTTTGGCGGCAAGCTGAAGAACCCGCTGCGGGTGATCCTGGTGGCTACACACGCTGACATCATGAACATCCCTCGGCCAGCAGGAGGCGAGTTTGGATACGACAAAGACACGTCATTGCTGAAAGAGGTCAAAAACAGGTACGGGCTAAAGGTTGCCAGGTCTACAACCCAGGGCTCTGCCCACCCCAGGGAATGAGTTACAGGTGTGAAAACACATTTGGTTTAGAGGTTAAGACCCCCCCACTTCCCATCTCGGAAGGCCAAGTTCAAGTCCCAGCTCCAGCGCCTGATTCAGCTTCTGATCCGGAGGCCCCAGCTCTGGAAGATGCTACCACCTCTCCCTCACCACACTGGGGACCAGGTCTCCAACACATGGACCCCCAGGATGGGGGCAAGCCACATGCAGCCCATAGCGGGGTCTACCAAAGTTTGCAGCTGTAGTCCCTGTGAGATGCTAGTAGCCACTGATTGGCAGGCACCCCTGTCTGTCAACTTCCTGGTTTGGAAATGGGGCGCTGTTATTTGTAGATTGACGCCGTGGCTTTGGAACCGTGCCTTTCTTCTTGCATGCTGAGGGCCTTTCGCCTCCCCTTCCCTGCACTGGCAGAGGCTACTGCTTGCCTCCACTGTGTTTCTGATGCATTGTGGGAACCTGGAGCTGCCATTTCTAGGACGCAGAGCAGGCCCATTGCCCCTGAAACTCTGCACCCAGTGTGCCAAGGCAGAGTCTAGTGGACAGCAGGGGCTGGCAGGAGCCGGAGCCCTACAGGAAAGACCTGGTGGGCCTGATTCACTGCTCTCCCTGTAGGTTCGGGAACGACCTCCACATATCCAATAAACTCTTTGTTCTGGATGCTGGCGCTTCTGGCTCCAAGGACATCAAGGTGCTTCGGAGTCACCTGCAGGAGATTCGGAGCCAGATCATCTCGGTGAGTAGACCCTGGTGGGAGCCCAGCCCCAGCCTGGGCCAGCGCCACCAGTGAGCCGGGCGCTGGGCCTCTCTGTCCCGCCCTCCTGGTTTAGTGTGGTCTGCAGGGACAACCTCACAGTAGGACCCAGGGCGTGATGGCTGCAAGGCTGTTGTTCACCCTGTCACGTCAAGGGAGGAGGGGCAGAGAAGCAAGAAGGGGGCGGGAATTGAAAGGCAAAGGTGGACCTCTTTCTTTTCTTTTTTTTTCTTTTTTTTTTTTTTTTTTTTTTTTTTTTTTGACAGGCAGGGTTAGACAGTGAGAGAGAGAGAGACAGAGAGAAAGGTCTTCCTTCCATTGATTCACTCCCAAAATGGCCACTATGGCCAGCATGCTGCACCGATCCGAAGGCAGGAGCCAGGTGCTTCTCCTGGTCTCCCATGCGGGTGCAGGGCCCAAGCACCTGGGCCATTCTCCACTGCACTCCCGGGCCACAGCAGAGATCTGGACTGGAAGAGGGGCAACCGGGACAGAATCTGGTGCCCCGACTGGGACTAGAACCCGGGGTGCCGGCGCCGCAGGCGGAGGATTAGCCAAGTGAGCCGTGGCGCCGGACTGGACCTCTTTCTTCAAAGGGTCTGAGACTCCTAATGTTTTCAGGGGTTATTTAGAGATTAAATGATGGTTTTGCAAATTAGAAAAGCAACGCGGAAGTGGCTTAGTGTGGAATCTTTAGAAAATTCAGAAAAGTAGAAAACCAGTCACTAGCCAAGTTCTATAAAGTAACAGACCCCCCAGTGGACCGAGACTGCCTTCCTGAGTGGCAGCCTCCGGCCAGCTTGTTGGGAGCATAATGAAGTACCCGAGGCAGGCCGAGATTAGGGAGAGAGGAAGGCCGTTTGGGCTCAGTTCCAGAAGTTCAGGGTTGAAAGCCTGTGAGGCAAACGTGGCCCAGAGCCCCATGGTTGCAGAGCATGTGTGTCTGTGTGTGGTCCTTCTTCCCCCAGATTCACTCCTAGAGACCCCACCCCAGTGATCTGACCCATTCTAACCTCTTTGCAAAAGCCCACCTCCCCACCCCAAGGGTACACATCTGACCTCTTAATGCCGCGCACGGAAGAGTGCAGGGATGAAGCCCCTGTCTGAAAATCGAACCACGACAGTAGGGTGTGTTCCCCACGGTATAGAAGTTGGACACGGTTCCTGTTCCTACCTGAATGGATCTGAGGGGCTTGAGTCTGCTATTTTATAATTCTAGGGCAAGAATGAATACAACATGCTAAAGACTCAAATAGGAGACACAGTCTAGAGAGTGTGGAAGTAAAATCTCAGTGTCCACAGAAGCAGGATAGAAAAGAGAGATGATGTTTCTATCTAGTGGGGAAAATGCTTATTTAAGAAATGATGCAGGGCCGGCGCCGTGGCATAGCAGGTAAAGCCCCTGCCCGTGACGCCGGTTCGAGGATGCTGGTTCGAGTCCTGGCTGCTCCACTCCCAAACCAGCTCTCTGCTATGGCCTGGGAAAGCAGCAGAGGATGGCCCAAGTGCTTGGGGCCTTGCATCTCCATTGGAGACCTGGATGAAGCTCCTGGCTCCTGGCTTCGGCCTGGCCCAGCCTTGGCCATTACAGCCATTTGGGGAGTGAACAGTGGATGGAAGATCCTCTGTGTGTGTGTCTTTCTGTCTCTGTAACCCTGCCTTTCAAAGAAATAAATAAATCATAAAAAAAGAGGAAGAAATGATAGTTACACAGCTTTTTATTTGCTCCTACTTACAATACAGCCCAAGAAAAAATGGATTAAAGCTTTCAAGTTGAAAAAAAATACAATGTCTGGAATGGAAGTTTAGGAAAATGTGTTTTTAAACTAACTTGGAATTAAGGAAACCTTTAACCAAGGTAGAAAACCACAGATGTTTTTTAAAGAAAGCGTAATCATTCGACAACATAAACATTGCACACTTTTTATGGGCTCTGTGTCCTTAAACAGAGTAGAGAAGTGACAACAGACTGGGAAAAAGCTTCAGTGTATTGGACACATGAAGGGTTGCATAAGAAGGAAACAAGCCATGTTCCTCATGGTGGCGCCACCTGCTGTTCCATCTTCTCCCAAAACCACACCAGGCTCTGGATCCCGAGTGCTTTTGGATTCCCAGGGAACTCTTCTCTCTGGAAACCTGGTGCTGGCACATCCGAGGTCCTGCCCCACTGCTGGGTGCACCAGGGTGCAGCCCATTGGTGGGCGTGGGAGCCACCTGGTCATAGAATAGAGGGGCGTTCCCCGGGTGGGAGACCAGTGCATCCTTGGGGGCTGGCTTAGGGCCGCTGCTCACCGGACTGTGAGGATTCTGGCAGGTTTCTGATGTGTGGTCTGACCAGTGGCAACCCAGACCTCTCGCCCCCCAGTTCCTGAGGGTAGGCGGCTGGAGCTCCCCAAGCAAGCTGCCTTTGTTCCTGGGAGTTCTGTTGTTTTTCTTATTAGGGAGTAGAATCCATCTGATATGAGAGCCAGGGGCCGAGGCATTGCCCGGCACAGCTTACGTTCTGATTAGGAAAGTGCGTTGATGACATTGGTCTGTAGCATGGATGGGTTTATTCACCCAACTGGCAAAGAAAAAAAAAAAATTCAAGGCTGTTACCAAGAATGGATCCAGTGTGAAGTAACGCCTTGACCATGAATCCCTGGTTAGATGAGCAGATTGTGCTGAGAGGCACACACATCAGCCTAGCCAGCAGCCGAGACACCTGCATCACATACTACATACAGTACCTGGGTTCAGTTCCGGCTCCAGCTTCCCGCGAATGCAGACCCGGGCAGCTGGCTCCCTGCCATCCATGGAAGAGACCTGGGTTTGAGTTCCTGACTCCCCGCCTCAGCCACCCACAGCTGCACCGCCTGCATAACCTGTTCCCCCCCTCTCCCGGCACGTTCCAGGGCTGCCCGCCCATGACCCACCTGTGTGAGAAGATCATCTCCACGCTGCCCTCCTGGAGGAAGCTCAACGGGCCCAACCAGCTGATGTCACTGCAGCAGTTTGTGTACGACGTGCAGGACCAGCTGAACCCGCTGGCCAGCGAGGAGGACCTCAGGCGGATTGCCCAGCAGCTGCACAGCATAGGCGAGGTAAGGGCTGCCGGGGGCTCCCACGTTCCAGCTCCCAGAGGGGGCCAGGGTGCAGAAGACTCAGCGGCCCCTGGTGTCTCCAGTGCGAGGACTTGCGTAACAGCCCCAGGTGATTCTCTCGAGTGGCAGCCTCCCTTCTCCTGCTCTGCCGGAAAGGCTGCTGTCTGATTCTTGCTTTGTTCTCCAAGTTCTGCTCACAAAGGGCAGGAGGCCCTGTCCTGGGGCCTGGGTCTCTGCCCACTCTGCTTGGGCACCTGGTGCTTCCAGGCTCTTCCACACACATCTCCAGAGAGACCTGTTTGGAAAAGACAGTGCGGGGTCCTCCCTGGGGTGCTGTCTGGAGACAGTAAGACAGCAGTAGTGCCCAGCACAGAGTGACCATAATTGCAGACACACGTGGGAAATTCCAGCTAGCAGTGCCCACCAGGAGCAACCAGAGGCCAGGCTCTTTGCTCTTGGTTGTATGACATTCAGTGCTCGGATATGGTTTGCACACCTTTTTCATTTAAAAAAAAAATTTATTTTATTTATTTGAAAGAGCGCAGAGAAAGATGGAGAAATAGAGAAAGAGATCTGCCATCCACTGGTTCACTCCCCATCTGGCCGTAACAGCCAGGGCTGTGCCAGGCCTAGGCCAGGAGCCTGGAACTCCATCCGGGTCTCCCACATGGGTAGCAGGGGCCCAAGCACTTGGGCCATCATCCGCTGCGCTCCCAGGTGCACCAGCCTGGACCTGGATCAGAAGCGGGGCAACCAGGGTGCTCTAACTAGTGCCCCACTGTGGGATGCTGGGGCCACGGGCAGTGGCTCAACCTGCCGCACCACGGTGCTGGCCCCGAGTCACATATCCCTGACACTAAAATGGAATCCAGAAACCAGGGACCCTGAACACTGGAGCCTGGAGCCGTGATCTTGTCAGACTTCAAAGCCCCAATTAAATGACCAGGCAGTCCGCCGGCTGCTGCGGCAGCGGTCAAACTCTGGAGGGAGACAGGTGAGGGAGCAGAGCGTCCCCGGCGAGGTGCTGCTGAATTGAAAGTGTTCGACCATGATCCCTAACTCACTCCAGTGGCCCGGCATTCTCTTGCCTCCTGGTCTGCGGCCAGCAACGTTCAAGATCATCGCATAGAAGCCACTTAGTGAGCAAGACCGCCCTCGTTCCCCGTGGCACGTTAGTACTTCCAGACAGAGGGCAAGAGGGGAAGAATGGGACTCTCCATCACGCGGCCCCTCCTCCAGCACTGTTGCTGTCTCGCAGTGGCCACTCTACTGGTCTCAAGTCCCCTGCCCACTTGTCCTTGCCATGTCTCTGTGCTGGCCCCGGATCCCACACAGTGTCTCGTGGGGCATCTCCGGCCCCCTGCACTGGGCATAGAGCATCAGTCCCTGTCCTCCGTGGCAGTGTTAAGACCAAATCGCAGGCTGGCGCCATGGCTCACTTGGTTAATCCTCCGCCTGCAGCACCAGCATCCCATATGGGCGCCGGATTCTGTCCCGGTTGCTCCTCTTCCAGTCCAGCTCTCTGCTGCGGCCTGGGAAGGCAGTGGAGGATGGCCCAAGTGCTTGGGCCCTGCACCTGCATAAAAGACCAGGAGGAAGCACCTGGCTCCTGGCTTTGGATTGGTGCAGCACTGGCCATAGCGGCCATTTGGGGAGTGAACCAACAGAAGAAAGACCTTTCTCTCTGTCTCCCTCTCACTGTCTATAACTCTACCTGTCAAAAGTAAAGGCAACGCTGGGTCCCACGCCCCGGGACTTCCTCTTGATGCTCAGTTTTGAATAGAACCTTGTCCCCAGGGCACCCGCGGGGGCTGAGGCAGACCAAGGGCCGGCTTTGAGCCCACCTCGGATCGGCATTATTCATAGACCCCGCGCAGGGAGGGTCTCTCTCTTATTCTTTTCCAAGTGCTGCTTTTCTGTTTGTAACTGATACTTAGAATGTTAGGTACTCATGGGACACCAGGTGACATTCCAGTTCGTGCACAGGCTGTGGAATGTTCCAATCAGGCTGATCTCAACAACCAACCCTCTCTTTGTGGTGAAAACATTCAGAATCCTTTTTTTTATCTTGTAACTTTTTTTAAAGATTTATTTACTTATTTGAAAGTCAGAGTTACACAGAGAGAGAATGAGAGGAAGGGGGAAGGAGGGGAGGTCGTCCATCCTCTGGTTCACTCCCCAGTTGGCCGCAGCAGACAGAGTTGAGTCGATCCAAAGCCAGGAGCCAGGAACTTCTTTCAGGTCTCCCTTGCGTACGGGGGCCCAAGGACTTGGGCCATCCTCTACTGCTTTCTCAGGCCACAGCAGAGAGTTGGATTGGAAGTGGAGCAGCTGGGACTTGAACCGGCGCCCACATGGGATGCCGGCGCTTCAGGCCAGGACGTTAACCTGCTGCACCACAGCGCCGGCCCCACTTGTAACTTTTTAAAGAAAAATATTCAGAGGCTGGCGTTGTGACGGAGCAGGTAAAGCACTAGCATCCCATATGGGCACCAGTTTGAGTCCTGGCTATTCGACTTCCCTTCCAGCTCCCTGCTGATGTGCCCGGGAAAGCAGTGGAAGATGGCCCAAGTCCTTGGGGCCCTGCACCCGTGTGGGAGACCCAGAAGGCACTCCTGGCCCTGACTTTTGCTGGGAAGTGAACCAGCAGATGGAAGACCTCTCTCTCTCTCTCTTTTTTTTTTATTTGATAGAGTTAGACAGTGAGAGAGAGAAAGGTCTTCCTTCCATTGGTTCACCCCCCAAATGGCCACTACAGCCCGAGCTGCGCCGATCTGAAGCCAGGAGCCAGGTGCTTCTTCCTGGTCTCCCATGCGAGTGCAGGGGCCCAAGCACTTGGGCCATCCATCCTCCTCTGCCCTCCTGGGCCACAGCATAGAGCTGGACTGGAAGAGGAGCAACTGGGACTAGAACCCGGCGCCCATATGGGATGCCGGTGCCGCAGGCGAAGGATTAACCAAGTGAGGCACGGCGCCGGCCCAGAAGACTTCTCTCGTGCGTGCCTCTCTCCAACTCTGCTTTTCAAATAAAATAAATCTTTTTAAACAAGAAATAGCACATTCTCCTTTTGGGTGATCACCCTACTGTGTATTACATGGAACCCCAGAACTTCTTTCTCCTGTGTAAACCTATCTTTGTGCCCGTTAATCAGCTTGTTCCATTCCCTGTTCTCCTCCACTCTGCCCTGACCCTGGCAGCCACCATCCTAGTCTCACCTGTGAGATCAACCCCTCTGGGTTCCACATGGGAGTGAGCTGTTGATTCTTGTCTTTTGGAGGCCAGCTTTGCTGTTCTAAAGCCACAGGACCAAGAAATCTGCAGGTCCTATCTTCACCATCCCCAGCTTCAGTCTTCTCGCCTCGCTCGGGGGTCGAGTGGCGCCAGCGCCTTCCAGGCCGTTTCTAGGGATGTGCTTGGATAATTTGTACACTGATAGAATTCCCCATCTTGTTTTGAAGAAGTTCAAGCCTTGGGAGAAGTGGCAAGCGCAGTTGCATTCTGCTTGCAAATGAACTGTTTACATTCTGATACAGTTCGTTGACTCCTCTCTCTTCTGTTTGTTTCCTTACTTGCTTTGCACACCTCGTGATATCTCACCCCTAAATAATAAAGCCTGTATCTCCTAAGGAGGAGAGTATCTCTCCACATACCTCAAAATAGTTCATGAGCACATTCTGGAAGCACAGCGTTGGTAGATGACGGTGCCTGGAGTATACAGTTGTCTTTTAGGAATGTATTTACTTTTGGTAGTTCACTGTGTTGACCTTTTGTTTAAATTTTCACTTATTTATTTAAGAGGTAGAGAAGCACAGAGACAGAGCTGCCATCTACTGTCATGCTCCCAGTGTCCGGGGCTGGGCCAGACCAAAGCCGGGAGCCCAGAACTCCATCCAGATCTCTTGCATGGGTAGCAGGGACCTGGCCACTTGAGTCATCTCCATAGCCTCCCAGGACCTACATTAGCAGAAAGCTGGACTCGGGAGCAGAGCCAGGATTCGAACCCAGGTCCTCTGATGTGGGATGCAGGTATCTTGATGGGCCTCTTACCCACTGTGCCAAATGCCCATCCCACGTTGGCCTGGGTTCATAGGTGGGTGTGTTTTTCAGATCTCTCCTCCAACCTTCCCAAGCTCAGCGTTTGGTTTTCAAGATCCATCCACATGAATGGCCTGGGTCGTTCTATTTACAAGTCGTCCGTCCGTGCTCTGAGCGACAGGTGCACCTGCTCTGAGCGACAGGTGCACCTGGGCGGGGTTGGTTCCCCACACTGACCCGTGTCATCCCCATTGGCAGATCAACATCATGCAGAGTGAAACAGTCCAGGATGTACTCATCCTGGACCCCCGCTGGCTCTGCACCAACGTGCTGGGGAAGCTGCTGTCCGTGGAGACCCCCCGGGCCCTGCACCATTACCGCGGCCGCTACACCGTGGAGGACATCCAGCGCCTGGTGCCCGACAGCGACGTGGAGGAGCTGCTGCAGATCCTGGATGCCATGGACATCTGCGCCCGGGACCTGAGCAGCGGCACCATGGTGGATGTCCCCGCTCTGATCAAGACGGACAACCTGCAGCGCTCCTGGACGGACGAGGAGGACGAGGTGATGGTGTACGGAGGCGTGCGCGTGGTCCCCGTGGAGCACCTCACCCCCTTCCCGTGCGGCATCTTCCACAAGGTGCAGGTGAACCTGTGCCGGTGGATCCACCAGCAGAGCACCGAGGGAGACGCCGACATCCGCCTGTGGGTGAGCGGCTGCAAGGTCACCCACCGCGGGGCCGAGCTGCTCGTACTACTGGTCAACCACGGCCAGGGCATTGAGGTGCAGGTGCGCGGGCTGGAGACGGAGAAGATCAAGTGCTGCCTGCTGCTGGACTCGGTGTGCAGCACCATCGAGAACGTCATGGCCACCACATTGCCGGGGCTGCTGACGGTGAAGCACTACCTGAGCCCCCAGCAGCTGCGGGAGCGCCATGAGCCCGTCATGGTCTACCAGCCCCGGGACTTCTTCCGGGCACAGACCCTCAAGGAGACCTCCCTGACGAACACCATGGGCGGCTACAAGGAGAGTTTCAGCAGTATCACCTGCTTTGGCTGTCACGATGTCTACGCGCAGGCCAGCCTGGGCATGGACATCCACGCGTCCGACCTGAGCCTCCTCACTCGCAGGAAGCTCAGCCGCCTGCTGGACCCACCTGACCCCATGGGGAAAGACTGGTGCCTCCTGGCCATGAACCTGGGCCTGCCCGACCTCGTCGCCAAGTACAACACCAACAGTGGGGCGCCCAGGGACTTCGTCCCCAGCCCGGTGCACGCCCTGCTGCGGGAGTGGACTTCCTGCCCCGAGAGCACAGTGGGCATCCTCATGGCCAAGCTGAGGGAGCTGGGCCGCCGGGACGCCGCCGACTTCCTGCTTAAGGCATCCTCGGTGTTCCGGATCAACCTCGACGGCGCCGGCCCCGAGGCCTACGCCTCCAGCTGCAACAGCGGCACCTCCTACAATTCCATTAGCTCCGTGGTGTCCCGGTGAGGGCCGCAGGAGCGAGGGGGTGCAGCCCGTTCTCCTGCTACACACACACACACACACACACATCCCCCAAGCCACCACGGGTCCCGCCCTCTGCCCACTACACCTGTTTCCCGGCCACTACCTCCCCCCCCTCCCTCCCACACCTGCCAAGGCTGTGACCGGTCCTTCTACCTGAGAGCAGACCACGTCCTACCTACACTCTGGCTGTTTGCAGAGCTAGTTACCTCCGTATCCCAGCCTCTGAGCCTCCAACACCCGGCTTCTTCCCTATCGTTTTCTTGGCATTCTCAACTTTTCAATGACCAATTTTATTTTATTTTATTTTATTTTTACTACCAGGTTGACCGGTCCCTTAGAAAAAAGCAAAATGCACACTGATCCAGAATGTGTGTTTCTTAGACTCTTTTTCCCTTGTGTCCTCAGCTTCTCTGTTTTATATTTGTAGGAGAGACTCCCATGCATGGAATCCCGCGGTGGGATTTATAAACAGACAATATGTGAGTGCCTTTTGCAGAAGAGGGTGTGTTTGAGACCATCTGAGTCAGCCAGGAGCTGTCACCAGGAAAACGCTACCTCTCTGTTCCCTGCCGTCTGCTCATCATCGCCAGAGGTGCTGCAAACCCTGAGTTCTTGGTTTTGTTCGTTGGGTTTTGTTTTTCCTTTTGTTCCCCCCACCCCGGCCCCTTTTTGGGTAATTTCTGTGTTGCCTTTGGCAAGGAAAGGGGAGAAGGGGATCCTCCCGCAGGGGGGATTTCATGGCCAGCGTGGGGGCTCGAGATGACATTTTTCAGTTTGCTCTTGTCTGTGAACGTCTGTGTGCCCGTCCCCATGAACCCCACAGACTGTCTCGCTTCCTCATTGCCGCGCCTCTCAGGTAGAAGGTCGACCAGGTGTACGGCGCTGGAGACCTGGGTGACAATTCAGAGAATCTTGCCCATGACATGTGGCAGCCTGCAGTCACTGTGCATAACAGGTGGCTTCCACGCGTGGGGCATGGGTTGATCCATTCTGGTCCTCAGAGTCTTAAAAAAACGAAAATACAGGAAGCCAGTTTCCTAGCAGTGCTTTTCAATTGTGGTAGAGTGTTCAGTTGATGTGAGAAAATATGTCCGATTTTTTCTGTCCTGAGAAGCATGTAACATTGATGTTATATCATATGTGTATATATCTATATATATGCACTCTGTACATACATATATATTAATACTGGTATTTTTACTTAATCTATAAGACACCGTAAGAAACTTACGTTTGTTTTTTTCTTTCCTTTTTTGATAAATAAACTGTTGCTTACTGCACTGGATTTGTTGGTTTTTAATTCAAAAGGAATTCTGGCTTTTAAAGATTTATTTATGAATTTATCTGAAAAGCGGAGTGATAGGGAGGGAGAGATCTTCCATCCACTGGTTCACTCCCCAAAATGAGCACAACAGCCAGGAGCCAGGAGCTCCCGATCTGGGCCTCCCACGTGGGCGGTAGGGGCCCAGTGCTTGGATCCTCTTGCGTTGCTTTCCCAGGGATGTTAGCCGGGAGCCGGGTGGACAGAAAGCATCCGGGACTCAAACAGGCGCTCCAGTATGGCACCTCCTGCATTGCAAGCAGCTGCTTAACCTGCTACACCACAGCTCTGGTCCCAGAATTCCTTTTCTCTGTTTGGTCCTCACCGCCTTCCTCCAGACCAGGAAAAGCCAGGAATCCAGAAGGTCATTAAAGCTGACCGTTAAAGCTCTCCTGGGCTCCAGAGGGACCCTGTTTATTCAAATCCTAAAACAGGAAGTGGCAAAGGAAAAGCAAAAAAAAAAAAAAAAAAAAAGCCCAGATGATCGTCACATTTGTGCTCACTGTAGAGAAAAGCAGCCCTTCCAGTTGCCTTGATGGAACCAAAAAGCCAAATTGCATCCTTTACTCTTGCGGTGGGAGTGGGCGCCACTTTGCTGTTTCTGTGCCAGTGTAGAGGAGAGGGCACCAGGAGCCAGGGGAACCTCCGGCCCAAGATGCCCATTGCAAGGGTTGCTTTGAAAAAGGCAAATGAGAAGGGATAGAAGGAAAATACTAGAACGGTAATGATGACTTTGTGGTGCTCACCGTGGCTCAGCCCAGACTGCAAACAAGACTTACTCTTACGATAGGAAAAGAGATCATGATGGCTAAAACTAAAAACTATGCCTAGCCATGCCTAGAGAGGTGACACTGAGGTCACAGCTGTGGCTGCCTTCAAGAGTGGGACCTCCTCTTGTCTGAACGCCGTCCTGAGTGTCGGCCTCACCCTCTCCTGCTTCACGTGGTTTTGCCTTCCCAGGGGACAGCAGCAGGTGCAACGTCCCACACTCAGGGGACAGGCTCTGATTGGACCAGCCTGGGGCCCTTGGCCATCCCTGTGCTAACCGCAGCGGTTGGGCAGATGGAGTGACTTTGGCCTGGCACTGGGGGCCCTGGGTAGATGTTAGGGGAGGGACAGTTCTCCCTTAGGGTCTCAGGGGGTGCTGGACAGACAGATGTCATGGACAGCAAACTCTGTGTGCTTCCCTGATGTCCGGGTATCAGGGCAGACACCTGTTTGTACGGTTATGGAAACCATGAGCTCTGGGATTGCAGGAAGGAATTGCAGTGGGGACAGCGGGGGCATCCCAGGGGCAGCGTGGGGTCTTCAGGGCCTGTGGGCAGGCAGGAACTCTGACACGATGCCTCCAGCCTTGCAGGCCAGGGGAAACTCCAGCGGCCGCAGTAGGAAGCAGAAGAAACAAGGCCTTGGAGCCAGAATGAAAAACTGCTGTGGGGGACTTGCACGTCGCCGCCAGCTGCTCATCTCCTGTGGGCACTGCATCCAAACCGGGTCTGCCTGGGCGGCCTGGGGTCTCCCAAATGGACCAAAACGTCTGTGGTGTAGGCTTGAGGGCAATCCCGGGGGCCCTGACTGGCTTCACACCCCACCACACCTCCAAACAAACTCAGAACTGGGAGTGGTGTCCTTTGTAGAAAGGGGTTTGCAAATACAACTGCAGAACTTGCATTAACCACAGTCCCCAGGGCTGGATCCCCTTCCCAGCGAAGGCCTGGCTCTTCCTGCAGAAGCGGCTGCCAGGGCCAGGGAGCTGAACAGCCTTAAGGGCAGGCAGGAGACCTGAGGCCAGGCCTTCAAGGCCTTTACCTAGGGAGCAGAGTCTGGGTTCTGTAAGACAACAGCATGGGTGATGCAGGGGGAGCCGATGGTTGCATACTATCGTGACCGTCTACGGCCGCTGACTGGTGTGGTTAACAGTGGCGAAGGTGAGACGTCCAATGCGTGTATTTTATCAGAGTGTTTTTCAAAAGTCAAAGGCTAAAACTGGAAGCCCACAGCATCTGGGCGACAGGATGGCTTGTAGGGCAAGGGCAAGACCACCCGTGGTCCTCAGAGCAGCCTGGCAGAGCACAGCAGGAAACATGCAGGGTCGCCATTGGAAGAATCTGATGGCTGTGATGGCTCCCACAAAACCCTTGCCATGGTCTTCATGGTGGGAGAGGGAGGAAGGAGGGACCTCTGGACCTCTGCTGCTCTGGTTGGTTTGCGGCTCGCTCCGTGGCTGTGGCTCAGTTGGACTCACAGGAGGGTGGTGGCATGGTCTTCCAGGACTGGTCGTGGGTCCGGGAAGGAGAGACTTGAGCAGACCGCACTGCTGAGGGGGAGGGGCGTGCGGCCATCTGTCTGCCCTGGGGACACCTGTCGCGGTGCCAGCCCCATGCCCACCATGGTCCACAGCCACCTCGGGGATGCACTCTCAGGGGCAGCTTTCAGAGACAGTGGTGGCTTTGGGTGGCACCCTAAGGGGGACATCAGGCTTCACCATGGCAACCGGAAGTTAGGTGCTGACGAGGGGCCCTGGGCCTCAGCAGCTGCCAGATGTGAACCCAGGACAGGGACAGGCTCATCTGTCCCAGATGGGGCCCCTGGCAAGAGTGGGCCTGGGAGAGAATCAGCCTCTTCCGCATCACTGGACAGAAAGCTTGGGGAGTGCCTGATGCAGAACAAGAATGTGCCTAGGACAGACAGCCGCTCGGCCCTTCCTGGAACTGTGGCCCCAGGTGGCCGCTAGCTTGTGACCGCTCCCAAGGCCAATTCTCAATGAGGAAGGTGTGAAGTGGCTTGAGGGTGGGGAACAGGCAGGGAGGCACCATGCCAATGCCTAGAGCAGAGTCCTGGGCCTGACCCAGGGCCATGGCGCCATCATCCTCGCAGCTAAAACCAGGGCGACAGTGCCTGAGGCTGTGACTTCAACCCGGCTGGCTCCTTGTCAGGGTCACAGAGAAGGGACCCAAGCAAGATGTGGACAAGCGCATCTTGTCCCATGGGAGTCAAAGACTTTTACAACTAAATGACAGCTGGTTTGGGTCAGCCACACTCTGACAGCTGGAGGCAAAGAGATGCACACTTGGGTTATGACCAATTTAGATAGGCCGTGGGCCCACAGCTGAGCACAGCTGGGCCCTAGCTTAATGAGCTCTGCCCAGTATGTATGCTGTAATCTGGTGTGTATGTACATTGGTGCAAATGCGTGTGACCACAGTGTCCATGTGCACATTTTGAACACGTACATAAAAGTCTCCGTGCGCCCCTGTGTGACCAAGTTGGTGCGGATGTGGGTATGTGGGTGGGTTGTAAGTGTGCATGGGTCCATGGGTATTGTGTACATGTGCAAATGTATACATGTGTATTTGTGTGAGTGTCTATGTTCGTGTGTGTGTGCACGTGCGTGTGGTGTTTGTGTTATGCACGCAGGGTGAGGGATTCTCCCACCATCAAGGCGTGTTTTTCTGACCCGCAGCCTTGATTCTCGCTGATTCCGCCGTAAGTGGCGTTACCCATGCTCAAGGAGACCCAGCAGAACATGAGGAGAACTTTTCTCCCACCCCGGCTGCCCCTCTGCACCGTCCTGAGGCTCCTCCCTGACGTGAGCCCGCCCGGCGTTCTGCACAACCCTGGTGGGGCCCTGGCCTGTGTGCATGAGAATCACTCTGTCTCCATGAAGGACGGCGCCAATCTCACGGGAGGCCACACTGCTTCCCCAAACCATGGGACTCTGTGAGGATGTTCACAGGGCGGAGACCCTGGCGTGCACTGCCGAGGCCCCACGCACCTGCGCCTGCACAGGGGTCAGCCCGGTGCGGCTGGGCCTGGGGCAGGGCGGTGCCTCGTGACTTAGGCAGTTTGGTGCAAGAGGAAGTGTTTAGGGCCTGCAGCTGCTTTTTCTAGACGTGTGTTAATGGAGCTGAAATCACGTGACGTGTACAACAACAGAGCCTGCGTTTTCTGTTTTATCTAGCGTGGAGACACAGCTGTTTTTCAGCGTTAGTAGGAGGTTTTCAGAAACGTCCGTGCTGACAGCTACACCGATTTGCTCGGCTTGGCCCACCCTGAAACACTCAGGCATTTTCCCTGTTGTTGGTAAAGCTGGGATAAGCATCTATACTTTTTATTTTCTGTTTTTCATTGGATATAAAATATGTGTTTTTCCTTTTGAACACACAACAGTTAAAATCTAGGAGAGAAGCATTTATTGTTGAGTAAAACAATGCATTTATGTGGCCTTCTGATTTTCTCTTTCTCTGGAAAAACATTCTTTTATGAATTAACTGTAACCCTCTTAGAATACTTAGGGGCCGGCACTGTGGTGTAGCAGGTAAAGCCACTGCCTGCAGTGCCAGCATCCCATATGGGTGCTGGTTTGGGTCCCAGCTGCTCCACTTCTGATCCAGCTCTCTGCTCTGGCCTGGGAAAGCAGTAGAAGATGACCCAAGTCCTTGGGCCCCTGCACCCACTTGGGAGACCTGGAAGAAGCTCCTGGCTCCTGGCTTCAGATCAGCACAGCTCTGGCCGTTGTGGCCATTTGGGGAGTGAACCAGCAAATGGAAGACTCTCTCTCTCTCTCTCTCCTTCTCTCTCTCTCTCTCTCTCTCTCTCTCTCTGCCTCTGCCTCTCTGTAACACTGCCTTTCAAATAAGTAAATAAATAAATAAAACTTTAAAAAAAGAATACTTATTACTACATTTGTTGGCAACAGTTAAGAGATTTTATGATATCACTCAGCAAGAACGGAAAGAAAATCTTCAAAACCCGTTGCTGGTGATGTTAGTTGGATTTCTACATGTTAGATTATTAGATTATTAGAAGATAATTGACTTTCTCTCTGTCTCTCTCTCTCACTGTCTATAACTCTACCTGTCAAATAAAAAACAAATAAAGAAGATAATTGAATTTGACCATGCTACAGGTACACCCTGCACAGCCTTCAAGGGATCCATACCCAGACTGTTGGGGTCC